AAAAATATTTAAAAAAATTATCTCTAAAAACTTGGAGTTATGAGAGTTAAAATTATGCACTTTGACTATTTATTTCTGTCGGAAAAATAACTTACCAAGTTTTTAGAAGAGGAAACACCTTTACTAAATAATTATAAAAAAAGCATTAACAATATCTTCATTATCATTAAATATAAATAAAAAAAACGTCAAATGTCAAAAAATAAATGTTAAAATTTTTTGATAGATAGTATTTTTTAAACATTTTTTCATGTTCCTGGTATCTTATCTTATTTAAAAACTTTCAAGGTCATATCTTCAATCCAGAGGCTTTTTAAAGCAAAATGCAAAAAAATTAACATTCCAGAAGTGGCTAAAGTAAAAATTTACTAAAACTGGTTTCAAGCGGTAATGAAACACGAAGGAAAATTAATAGTTATATTTAAAACAAAATTTCATCAGTAACAATTATAATAATCTTGTACTTTTTTCAACAATATAAACAGAATTAACAGTTTACACAAAAGAAGTTCAATTAAACGAGTTAACCCAAGACTACAATTTAAAAAAAGAGAATGCTGATCTGTGATCTGGCACGAATGAGAATCTCGTAAGTTCAATAGATTACAGAAATGTGTTAACTCATGTAACTACTAACATTACACAAATTGCCTAATATAAACAATATTTACAACGATGAAAATTAGCTTAACATTTTCTATTTATACAACACTTAAAACTTAGGAATAATGTCTCTCTATAAAATACCTAAAAACAGGTAGTAATATCAACTTAAAGGAAGATAATCTTAAACAAGATCAAAATATAAAATAACTTGATTCCCACTGTACAACCAAATAAAAATAAACGATTGGGAGTCGCTTTAAAAATATAAAAACAAAAATGGAAAAATAAAATCGACGCGATAACATGGTTTCAACCACTAAAAACATAATTTCAACACATTTACCTATGCTTATCATATATCACATAACATATTTGACACATGAGAAATGATTTAAAATATATCTTTTATATTTAATTTATACTATAGTATTATAAAATGTATACTCTTTTTTTTTGTTAAGATTTTGATTCAGTCTTGACAAAATTAAATTAATTTATCTAGCTATCGGCATCTATACTCTCCGCTGAATTCAGTTGATTTAATTTATTTGGATCGTTGATAAAAACTTTCTTGGCTAAAGTCTAAAAAAGAAAACAATCAATTAGCCTCATTATCAGCAAAGATAATTATCAATTTCGGACGTCATTCCTCGAAAACATGTCAATACAAACCTTTAAGCTCTCTAAACATTGGTCCCCATCAGCAGTATTTATTTCCGTCAACAAACTGTTAGATCTCTCCAACTCTGCGTACAATCCGAACGGTATTTTCGCGAGACATTCCAACTTCATGATGTGCATTTTCGAGCGCAGATGTTTCGCGAGATGACCGTGTATTCGAAATGCAATATTACAATCGACGCATTTGAACGGCCGAGGCTCCGACGAGGACAAGGCAGGCGATGACGACAACTAAAACAAAAAAAAAGTCAAAAATATTACAAAAAAAAAAACACGAAATTGTACTTTATTGTGATGACTAGCACTTCTTTCATGCTTCTGCAAGTGGCCCTTTGTACGAAAACTCACAGAACACGAATGGCAACGAAACGGACGCTCCAAGTAGTGGATGTTCATGTGCAGCCTGAAAAATAAAGTATGCAATGCAAGCGAACAAATAATATTTTAAATTTACATGACAATATTGAATGATCTAGTGACTGTAAATAGTGATTTTTGACATCAAAAGTCACTAATAATTCAGTATTGCCAACTTAATTTCCAAGTCATGGGCCACTCTGATTGAAAATTTATGCCGAAAATTACCTCAGCTGTGGCGTTTTGCTGAAGCTTTTCGCACAAATATGACAACTTTTATTCCCTTCGGGCTTGACGATCAGATCGTTGACTTCCTTCGTAACTGGTCCGAAAGTGTTCGCCTCTCTAATCGCGTCACCTGGTGAGAATTCGTTTTTCGTTGCGATTTTCAAAAATTCCGAAGCTACACTTTTCGCGAGAGTATTTTTCTCGAGTTTCACTTGTTTGGTGGCAATTTCGGCCAACGTTTCCATCGCACTGTTATCGTAATCGACCGATTTGTACACTATTTTAGGGGATTCACAGTTTATCGGTTGGCTATCCGGTATCACGTAATTGATGTTCACACTCACGAAACCGTTGCTGTTTTTCACCGGCGATTTCTCTTCGGCAAACTTCGGAGGCGGGTAGAGATCTTCGGTTTTTTTGATCACATGGTACATGCGTCGGTCGTCCTCTTTCGGCTGAGGCGATCCGTTATACCTGAAAACATTCAAAAATTAATACAACATCCTGTATATCACTGAATTTGTGGCGGAAAAACCAATGTCCCTCCGTCGAAATAAATGACAATTCAGTATAAAAATGTGACATTTAAATTTGATAGTCAGTGTTGCCAACTTAAAATTTCCGAAAAAATCCCCTACCTTAATTCGGGGTTTTTCTCCGCTGGCATCGACAAGTCCATCACTTCGTCCGTTTTATGTTGCTTCACTCTTTCAAACTCACTTTCCACGAAACTCAATTTCCGTTTCCTCAAATCCGCCGCACTCTGATTATTATCACCAAGCACCACAGCATCGTTGACTTTTAAAACCGGCGGTTGTACAACATTGTTCACTTTATGCACCATCACGACCTCAGTTGGCACTCTTGTCCTATCCTTTCCACTTTTACTAGTCAAGCAATTGGCACTATTGTCCACTTGTTTGTGGGATTCCCTTGAAGCGTACTTTTGAATGACGTGAAACTGTTTGATACTTTTCGTTTCAGTTTTATCGGCCTCTTGACTGTCCTGAGGTATGATCGACGTGTAGGGGTAGGTCAGAGGTCGGTTGATTGTCGTCTTGCCTAGGAACTGGGTCAAGTTTTGGACTTCTTCGTCCGATGTACTACCACTGGTGGTGGCAGTGACTTTAGGGACGCTGAAATTGAGTGGTGTTTTATCGTCGAGGATTTTGTTTTTGGCATAGTTGGTTTTGGACGCGTGGGCAATTTCCTCGGTGTTGAGGACCGTGACGTCGGAGCCCGAAGTCGAAACGGGGCTCGTGGACTCGCGACGGAGAGGCTGCGAAGTCTTCTGGGAGAGGGAGAGAAGGCCGTAGGCCGCTTCGTGCTCCTCCCGTCGAGTTGACTCATCTACGAATAAAAAATTAATGAAAAACACGAATTATTCAAGCAAGTGATTGGAACAAACGAAAGGCTTCTGAACGAGTCTTGTGTACTATTTTTTCTACTTTGCACTTTTAATCTGAAAATAATTTCTCAAGATTGTTTTTCCTGTACGCCACCGGAAATCAGAAAAAGTGATAAGAATATTGAATGGCATTGTCACCAACATTAAAAACATAAAAATTACAAGGCTGATAATGCACCTAAACGAGTTTGTTAATAACGTTGTTAAAAATGCAAATAAGAAAAATCTTTACTAAGATTAATATACAATTCTGACGCTTCAAGTACACACTTGAAAAAAAACAGATAATTTCTCTTAATTAAAGTGCCTACGATTTTAATCAGGTAAATATTTGAAAATGTGTGCACAATGCGGAATTCCACTGACACGAAAATAAAGCGTGATTGTTTGATTTTTTATTATTATTATTTTATTATTATATTTTAGTATGGATTTTTTCACTGATAAAACTGAGACTGGAGCTATCTAACATCTTCTATCTCTACATTCTTCAATGTTGCCAATTTAAATTTAAGCACAGGCCACTATGATCGTAAATAATAACATTAATAACGCATGTTTTTTTTTAATTCGGCGTCAAAGCTATCTATGAAAGTTTGATTGTGAACGAACTATCGTATTGAAAATTTTTAATTATAATTAACAATTTAACATTTTTGATACCACCACCGCCAACTACGACGCCAAAATTAAATAAACATCCCCTGTAATACGAGTAAAGGACCAATATTATTTATATTAATTATTCACCTTTTTCTGATTAAATTAATACTAAAAAGAGTCATTTTGTTCATTATAAAAGAATAAAAAATGTTCAAAAACCGTTAAAAGTAACAAAAAATTGACCCATTTTTGTATTTTGGAACCACCATCAAACTGATGATTTTTTTATTCGTTGACATTTCCAGTCATTCTTACTTTCAAAACTCGCAATAACTCGGTGTCCCCAATCAACTAAGTTATAAATAAAAGATTTATTATCAATGCGAGAATTTTGTAAAAAAATTCACTCAATTTCAGTTTAGCGATAAAATAATAACGAAAACATGCAGTTATTGTCATAAACAGGATTACAAACAAAACCAAGTTTACATAAACAATAATTATTACTTATCAATGCATAAATGGGCTCATTTATTGAAAAATGATAATTTTTTGTAATACTGACATAACACGAGTTTTGTGCCAACACAAAATCGGCCTCGTCCTTGGGTCCCCCTTATTGCGAAAAAAGATAAAAATTAATCACACAATCTTGCTTTTATCAAAATGAGTTTCGCCAAATCGTTATCATTTTACAACTCCAAATATTGACTTTGTACTTTTTTTTCCACAATATTTACCACTGCTATCCATCCCGCTGTCCTCCGTATCCGACTCGGAGCTCTGTGTGCCGCTCTGTTGTGTCGATGATCCCGACCCACTAGCCGCATAGTTCTTCGTGTGCGCTTTACTCTTCATATGCTTCGTCAAATTCCCCTTTGTCTTGAAACTAAAACCGGAATTAAGAACCAAAATTTTCGGTTATTTCATCAAACTCACCTGAAATTGCAATGATTGCAAGTGTACGGCCTGTCATTCGAATGCGTCCTGATATGTTTTTTCAACATTGACGGTTTTTTGCACCTGATTCCGCACTGGTCGCACACGTAGCGACCTCGCCCCCTGCCTCGGATGTACGTGTAGTCGTCGTTGGATTCGTAACCGCCGAGGATGGTGGCGGATTTCTGCTGCTCCTCGGACTTGTCGCCGCCACTGGAAGACTCCGAAACGACAAACTGCAACAAAATAACTTATAAAAACACGAAAAAACAACGGGCGCTGACTACATGGGTGCCTCGGGGCGGGGCGTGGCGTCAATTGAAAATAATGTATTCTTGCTAAAGGTAAAAAAATAATAATAGTAACTTTTAATAATATTTGGAAAATGAATCAAATTCATGGATTGCATTATTCTATTTTGTTTTTTCATTTTATAACGACAAAGCATTCTACATAAACTTTTTATACAGGGTCGCTAAAAAAAGTATGGATACCTAAATAACTTTAAAACGGTTTAGCAGAACACGTTGAAATTTGAGAAACAGTTAGGACTGTTTAAATTCTATCATCTGATATCTTTTTCAATTTTCTACCATCATTTATTTTGTAATTACAAGGCTAACTTGATTTTTTTTAATGGCACGAAGAGTCAAATTTAATAATTTTTGAGAAAGCATTTTTTTCTGAATTTAGTGATGTACCTTATGCCCATCTTTATTTTTATTAAAAGGTAAAAAATAAATAAAAATTCAGAAATGTAATTCTGGAAAAGCAATACTAAGTTAGTTTTGAAAATGAGGTTATAGAAATTCTCAAGTCAATGGGAATCAATAACAATTATGTATTTTGTGTTTAAGCTTTTTTTTTTAATTAAAATGTATTCTTTTTCAGTTAAAATAAATGTTATTTTAACAATTATTATTAACTTTTACTTATTTTTTGGTTAAAGTTCAGGCGGCAAAGAGCTAACGATAGATAAAGGCAACATTCCAAGACTAACAAAATTTTATATTTTTTTAAATTTCGACAATTTTTTTAAGTTTTGATTAAAATATGGTATGCATGTATTGCATTACAGAACTAACTCAGAAAAAAATGCTCTTTTAAAAAATATTCAATTTCATCCTTCTTACCATTAAAAAAATCAAGTTAGCCTTGTATCCCCAAAGCAAATAGAAAAAATAGAAATTTTATAAACATCTGAGACGATGGAATTTACATACTTGTAAGCATATACCAAATTTCAATAAGTTTTAATGAATAGTTTTTATAATATTTTACTGTATTTTTTATAATATTTTACTTTTTAGTGACCCTGTATACTACTCTAAAAAGTTAATGAAACAAAAAATTTTCTTAAATTTTTTGGTAATTTTGAAAAGTTGTACATCAATGAAAAATGGTTGAATCTAGATTTAAAAAAAACATTTTAAAGCTTCAAGTTTCTAGTCTTGAGATTTTTTGACAAAAAAATTTCCCAGCTACGGTTATTACGCAGGTTTTTACAGCGTAACTATATAGCTACGCAATTTTTGATTTTTAAATCGATCCATCAAACTGTTTTCGCGGACCGATTAATTAATTGTTTTTGGACATTGTGTGATCTTCATCAAAATAAAATAAAACATTTTTTTGAATATTAAATTTAACAAAAAAATAAGTTTTTTTTGAATTCGTAAAATTTTTCAAACCATTCAGCCTTTTTTTAATTTTACTCAGCACAAATTACAAATTGGATTAATTAAAAGTTAATATCCCAACACTCGATTTCCGTTCTTGAAAATTTTCAAAAAAAGTCATTTTTTTTTAAATTGTTTCCAATTTTTTTTTTTAATTTAACAGATGTGCATTATTTTTCAAAACAACAACTTAAAGCATTTTGCAACTTTGAAGATGTACTATTTTCTTTATACTTTTTATTGTACATTTTTTATACATACATTAACCACTTTTGTATTTTTTTACTATTATTTCTATTACTTATTGTATTTTTCTTTTGTACTATATGAAAAATTTTATTGTTTTTACATGTTCTGAATATTAAATACATTCAATTCAGCAAAAATAGAGAAGCAGAAATCGTTTTCTCGCGTAATTGTTCTCAGGTCCTTCAAGTTATACCAACATACAGGATGTTTCAGAACTCACGCTCCAGAGAAAACTTTCAAGTAAGATAAGATACCAAAAACTTGGAAAAAAATGTTTAAAAAACTATCTATAAAAATTATGCACTTTGACTTTTATTTATTTCTGTTGGAAAAATGATTATACTAGTTTTTTTTTGCCAACGGCTATTATTACTAAATAATTATTATGGAAAAACATATAGAACATAATTTTTTGACAGATAGAATATTTTAAACATTTCTTCCATGTTCCTGGCATCATATCTTACTTGAAATTTTTTTGTTGTGGCGCGAGTTCTAAAACACCCTGTATGTATAGAAGATCTAAAAAGAAACTTTACATGTTATTTACGCACCTTGTAACTCGAATGCACCACCAGGTCGGCGGTCGTTTTCCCCGCCGTGGTGTACCGCTGATGCCGCTGTCTCGAGTCGTACGCACTCACATACAACTTCTCCGTCTTGGTGTCCTGCTGTCTCCACTCGGAGTACATACTTAATTTTTTAAAGTAATGCACATAAAACGGCTGCGTTTTATTCAACGTACAATACACCGTCCTCGTCGAGCACTTCAACCCCAAATAACTGAAATAATTCCCGTGTAAAAACTGCTGGACGTACTTCTTCGCCACACGTGGTGTATCCGGACTGATCAAAATCTGGTTAAACATCGTCGGTGTCAATCCATGGTGTTGTTTCAAAGAGGCCGTTGTTGGTTTCAAGGCTAGACTATTAGGCCGTGCGAACTTCTTCGCTTCGGTGATTTTCACCGGGGATTTATCGGCCGGATGATCGATTTTCACTTCTAGTGGTTTAGGATCAGGTTTGATTAGAATCGGTGGGGGTTCTTCGGGCACAAGAGGCCCGGGAATCCCCGGTACGTGACGTACGACTTTTCCGTTGACTAGGAGTTTGACGGGATTGCAGACAGGTTGGGGGGTGATGATTTTCGGTTGGAAGACTTTATGAGGTTCGGGTTTATCTAAATCGGGGAAGGTAAAATGATTGGGGGTTGGTACTCCTGGAACTGCTAGATTGGGTTGTTTCAAGTTCGGGGTTAGGAGTTTGACGGCTTTTTGGCTAAAATCGACGATGTTGGTGTATTTGTTGTAAGGAACGGTATAGTCGATAGAATCGGTATTTCCCCTGTAGGTGATTTGGGGTTTGGTCAAGTTGACTCCAATGTTGGGGGAGGCTGGGGTGTTGTCGTAAACACGAATAACATCTTGGGTTGGCCGTAAAGAATCTTCTTTGGAGTAGTTGGCTTTGTTGGTCAAGACGGTACCACCGGATTGTAACCCGGATTTCACCACTCGATTCTCACTCACTTTTCCACTGTATTCCACAAAGCCACTATCAAACTTATCGTCTTTATTATCAATTTTGAAACTCTTAGTTTCACCAGAGGTGTGCGTGATTTTGACTTCACCTCCGAAGAGTTTCACCGGAGGCTTCTTCTCCCTTTCACTGGGTAAAGTTAGTGGTGATAGTAAGTACCGTTCGGTGGGAGTAGCGGGAGGAAAAGCCGTCGGAAGGCCATCATCGAACGAAAACGACTTATTTTTGTCACTTTCAACCAATCGGGTTTTGCCTAAAAACGGCCCTGGAGACTTCAATGGAAACACTGCGTTTTGTAGATGGGGAATATTATCAAAGGCGTTTTTATTCTGTGTAAGAATAGAAGCCACATTGACTGAACTACTCCGACTGTATTTGGCACCAGGTTTGACAAACCCTTTACAATTCCTCAATTTGTGCAACTCCAACTCAGTCACAGTTTGAAAAATCATTTTACAATGAGGACACTGCATATCCGAATTGAGATTTTTGAGGAGCAACTCCTTGATTAAGCTTTTCTGGGTTCCAGGTTCCACCACTTCGCTCATACACCTCTTCCGGTTTTTGGTAAGATTGAGTGGTTCGTCGTTGTTGTTCAAATAAATCAAATCGGCGATGTGTCTCTGGTGTTCTTCCACCTCCGGCCTCTTCTTCAACACGTAGGGGTCATGCGAGTTAACAATCGAGTTGTTCTTGTTGATAATCTCATTGATGTGGTCCGAGAGGATATTGGAGTTGTGTTTAGGTTCATCTTTATTCTCTTCGTTCTCTTTGAAGATGTGTTTGGTGTGGAAGCGCGGTTTGTAGGGTTTGGTTTTGAGGTCTTGAGCTTTGTCTTCGATGGTGGCATCGTTGGTGGGGCTTTTGGGCCCCTCTTCGGTCTCTCCCATCTCTTGCGCTTTGTTTCCCAAGACTCGATTCGCATGTGTTCGCGATCTGCAGTGTTTGTAGAGATTGGAGCGAGTTTTGAAGCTGAAACCGCAACTGTTGCAAGGGAATGGACGTTCGTTGGTGTGCGCCCTGATGTGTTTTTGGAGTACACTGGGTTTGGAGCATACCAGATTACAATAGGGGCAGACATACTTGCCGGCGGAGGACTTATCGGGGATTTTCTCTGCCTCTTCGTGGTCCTTCGAGACTACATCTTCGGGTTTCACTTTGTATAAGTTATTTTCTAAAATGGAAGACGTGCTAACTGGTTCGGTCCAGGGTTTCGATATGCACGAGTTCGAAGATTGTAAAATCACGCTACACTCCTCTACTGATATGGAAGACTTTGAGAGAGAACTACTTTGATTTGTACTCTGGTTTGGCACACTTTCGTTATTGTCTTTGCAAGTTTGATTCTCAGGGGTTTTTTCTTGACGCGAGTCCACGACTCCCTTGCTCTCATATTGGAGTTTCGGTTCGATGATGCTGAGCTGCTTCTTGAACTTCTTGTGCAAATAACTGTCGGCACTGTTTTCCATCGCTCTTTAGTAACTGCAAAAAAATGAGAAAACATGACTCATTTACACTCCAAACTGATAAGAAATGATAAGAGATACCGTGAATAAATCGTAAATTATTAAAATTTCCTTTATGCTACGCGTGATAACACCGAAATTGCGCATTTTTTGTGCGTAGGAGACTATTATCTAACGCAAAAGTACCACCACAAGCAGCCGTCTTGATCCTTGCCCCATGAAACCGTCTTGCGAAACACCACTGATAACAAACACCTCGAGCGCTTCCCCACAGAAGAGCTTTTGATACTGATACCGTTTCCACGAACCGCACTGCACTCGGTGATAACCAGCGATAAGAAAAAAAACCGACAATAATGTAATTATTTTGATCGTACGACTCTTGGGAGTTTTTCGTGTACTTGGCGTTAAAATTCTTGAAAGCGAATTAGCGAATCCGACTAGCATCTGCCGTTCGTGGAATTCGTTCATGAGCGGGGATTTCGTAGAAAAAGCAGGTATGGGCTGTTGTCTTTTCTTGGAACGCGGATGATTCGGTACGATTCGATTCCGAGTCTAAGGAAGGGGGAACTCATCATGTAAAACTACCTGCCCGAGGAGCCCCAGGCACCTGATTTTATTTACGTGCCGTTGTTTTCTTTCGACTGCTTCAAGGACACGCTCGAGTGACTACACCCGGACGGGGATTTCCCTACATGGACGAGAATTCGCAGCGGTTTAGGCCGAATGTGACTCATTGAAGGCATGGAGACTGGGAGTCAAATATTCTTCCAGACGCCCAATATTTTTAAGAAAATTGACAGCTTTTACACAAAAAATAAAATACATGGTGTCCGAAAAAATGTTACAAATTTTTGGAGGTGATTCCTCAGGTCAATAGAGAGAAAAAAGTTCCAATGGACCTATGTCAGGATACGCTGCGTAAAGGAGCTAAAGCGGTTAAAAAAATTAAAATAAAATAACACAAAAGACATTGTTTAAAGAAAATTGTCTAACAAATCTAAATTTATAAAAAAAATCATAAATCTTTTCCAAACCAAAATTTTTCATTAAAGGTACACAATTTTTCATAACATAACACTAGTAGATTCAACGGCAAAATTTTGGAATTTATCCCAACCGGTTACTGAGATAATTGAAAAGAAATCTTTTGCTCGCCATTTTCAGACATTGGTCCCTCAACTCAAATCAGCAAGAAATTACTGCCTATAGAATTTAGGGATATTTGTTACTAGGGGGCCATAAATTTAGTTACGTTGGAGACAATATGATTTCTGGTAACAAAAAGTAACGTTTAAGTCTCCTATCAAAATGTCTTATTAAATAAATATGTCAATTGAGAGTTGACAGAATACGTCAACCGGTTACCAACCTTAGCATTCAAAATTGCTTCTGAAAATTTTAATTATGTACTAACAACATGAAAAACGTAATTTTCCTAAAAGTTTGCATCCTAAGTGGTAATTTCTTGTTGAAAAATTTGTAGGAATTTTTTCTCTTACATTGACCTGAAGAATTACCTACCCCCGAAATCTTGCAAGGTTTTTTCGGGACAACCTGCAAATGTATTTTTTTTTTCTGTATGAAGATATAGCGAAAAGTACACATTTTTTGTGGTAATAAATACATTTTGTGTAATTTATTAACACCAAAGAATGACCTTTGAAGCGTAATGAAGATTATTTAACTTCAACTGACTTATTTAAACACGTCATTTATAGATACATTAAATTGTGAAATTATAACCTAAAGTAAAGCTTTTGCGTGTTTTATTTAAATATTTTGACGTAGTATGACAGGTGAGGTCTAAAGTGCAGGGTGCAGGGTGTAAATTAATGAAACCATTGAGTTTTTTTATCAAACAACAATAAAATGTCATTTCTTAAATTTCAAACAAGTAAATTTCAATTATTTTTTCTCACTTTTCAATTTAAATTTATATTTGATCTCCCCTGCTATTCAAAAAAATCAACTTGGCCTTGTATCTCCAAAACAAATGAAAGCAGAAATTTGCTTGTTAAAATTTTATTAAACAGAGTAGTCAGTGAAAAAGAAGCTTAACTAAAATCAATTTAAAAAAACTAGACCATACAGATTATTACCTATTATTTAATACAATTGTACAAAATTAATAAAAATTAAAAAATTATCCAGTCATACAAAATATATGATAAATTTATGATCACTAATCCAAAATAAAATGACTGATATTTTTGTTATTACTAATTCAGAGATAGTGTTTGTAAAACAAATCATAAAACAATTATTTTTAAGTCAAAGTGTCAAATTTTGACATTACAAGCAAAATGGGTCAAATCTGCCAGAACAATCTGATTCTGTTTGACATTGACTAATTTCTAATAAAAAATTCATTTACAGTAGAACCTCTATAATCCGACCTAATTATCGCAAACGGTTCTTCAGGTTTTCGAATTAACTTTTTTTTAATTAAACAACTGAAATAATTCTATTTATTAAAAAAATGTAACACAAAATATAAAAAATGCATAATTATATTATGTAAATTTATTGACGAGTAAAAAATGAAGTAGGTACTTTTTTTTATTAATTCCAACTGCTCTAGCCTCTTGGGACTTTTTCTTTATCTTTTCTAAAAGAACGATACCCTCGTCTGGTTCAAAATTTATTCGAAGTTCGGATCAAAGAGGTTTAGTGTATTTAATTTATAAAAATGTAAAAACAGTCAAGCGTTAAACCTTTAACCCATCCACTAATTTGCATCGTCTAGTTGTCAATTCGTTAAATTCGCGATTAGACATCCCAATACATTTATTTTTATCACAATTAATTATTATTGTCGCGTCGAAAACATCCGTCTCAACGTCCAAATCTACCTACCTTCAAAATGACGTTTTTCACCATTTTTAACACTCAACCAGCCAACAGGCACGTGTCCAAACGATTTTCAGATTAGATTACTTCACAAAAAGATCGAATTATTTTCGAATTACGACCGAAAACAAGCCAAACATTTCCACCCGAATCTCTCGCATAAACTGTTTGCAGCGATCAAGCAAAAGTCCAAAGTCTGAACCTGCGTAAGACGCACTCTGAACCCCATGAAAAAATTGGGGAAATGAGGGTTTTGGAGGGATTCGGGAATCTCCACAAGTGGGCGCTTATCGGAGTCAATCACAAGTGAATTGAAAAAATGATAAGATGACACATTTTTTCTACGAAAAGGTGATTTTTCCGCGTGAAAACAAAACCAGATCTTTTACATCACTCGGCGATAAAAAGGAGCAAAGTCCTCGTTGACATCTCCTTATCTCGCTACAAATTTCAGTTCGGATAAATTTTAAGGGCGGTGTCATTGAATTCGTGTTGGTCCAATTGTAAACATTAACAAATCAAGAAATTTCGCTTATCAACGGACCCGATTTCCTGTTTCCTCAACGATAAAACTCACATTTGACTTGTAAATAAACAAAGAATCGCAACTACGGATTTTGACCGATGTGTTACTTACTACACCAAAAATAATTTTGATAAGATAAGGGCATCAATATTATCGATTTTGTTTTGTTTTTGTTATCACTTATCAGTGACTTGCATGGAAACATTTGCAACTCACTATGTGACCACGTACGGGGCATTCGCGGTGTTCCAAATGTCTCCACAAAATTAAACAAAGTTGGAAATTTACACAAACACAGCGACCTTCACCTGTAACTAGGAGATAACAATTAAAAAAAAATCTTAATCCTCTTTAGATAAAGATGAAATAATATTAATTCGCTTCGGGGTCATCAAACATAATTCGATTTTGTTATTAAAGTTCCCACTTGAGATAAAAACTCCGGATAATCCGTTTTATAAACACTCTGTACTTCAAAGTTCTGTCTGTATTTTTTAATAAAAAAAGTATTTTTTGTTAAACTTAGAAAAAAAATTACATCTTTGATTCATGATGTCTACCAGGTGTATCAAGTTTTATTCGTACCTCCCTAAACAAGTCTTTCAAGTTAAACTAAAACTTTTTTCCTAGTAAGGATAAATTTTAATTTAGTATAATAATAATGCACCCATTTCATAAAATTAGTTTAATTAGAAAGAGGTGTTTGAGAAGTGTGCATAAAATTGGACTCACCCGGTATATTATTTTTTTCTGCTGATTAAGTAAATTCCGTAATAATTTGATAATAAAAACAATAACACGTCACGTAATTTCGTGGGTTTCACTCACAGTTATCAATGACAATCATTCCACTTATGATGTAAAAATAAAAAATGAATTCATGAAAATATGAATCACAACTTGAATTTGAAAAGGTTAATTTACGATATAAAAACTGAAATTATGATTTGTGATTCACACCTGAAATGCCAAAAATTTTGAAACTGAAGTCATTTCAAAAATATAAAAGACAAAATATTTGTTTTGTTGTTATCTCTGCCAACTCGGATGACGTTTTTCCCTCGATACACCAACACACCGTTTCGATATTTTCCTGGAAGTTCCGTTGATATGTTTTCTAATTGACCACAAACCGAACCAAAGTTCATTTTATTAATACTCTCAATTCGAAGGATGTTTTGCAAAAATATTTGGGGCATCTGCAACTCCCGAAATAAACAACAACTTCGACTCCGACGCACACTCAAAAATTTTTTTAAAAATAGACACTGACATAATAGAAATTCCCGGATTTTAAATAACCATTCGCAGAATCGAACGAAATTTCGGACAAGAAGTATAAATACCTAACGTGCATGGTTGCGAATTTAACACTTTGAAGGTGTTACTGTCACGCGTGACCTTAACATCGGGTGATTCACACGAGAAGATGCAGTTTTAGTTGAGCCATCCTGTATCACAATTTGCTTTATCAGCAGACAACAAAGCCGATCGTAAATCCTCAACAGGTGAATTCCTGCGATAAGCCGGGAAATATTTGTCATTTTCGTTGTTAATCAGTCGTTTTTCTCGGAAGTCGTCGCTGATTGGTTTTTGCGGTTTGGTGACTTATCGACCGGAAACGTTTAGGGACAATAATAACAATTTTAATTCGTATTCCAGAAGATAATCTCAGTTCAAAAGTGAAACCATATTTTTATAATGACCTTGTTGCACAGGATGTCATGTGTTAAAACACGGAATAACACAAGTGATGTCATTATATCATTTGAAGCGTCAGTACTAATTTTGTTTTGTTTTATTGGGAGTTTTCGTAGAATTAAAATTTTATTTGAGATAATTCCATATTCCGGACTTGATTATCGAAATCACTAATTGTAAATCCTAGTTGGCCCTGACAAAAATCTAGAATTTGATTAATTTTTTCCACTAGTGAAATGTCATTTTTTTGAAAACGTCAATAATTTTGTTAGTAGAATTCAAAATAGAAGGACAAGTGAGTCAGTACCTTAAACATTTAGAATAATATTTACTTAATTTTTCTTATTTATTTCATGAATAATGCAAATGCTAATGAAAAATGTATACACTGAACCGCAGTATCTCACATGAATGAACTTTTCTTTTGCCTCTTCTAAGTTGGCTAAAAACAAATTTCCCTAAAGTGACAGATATGACTGCCAACTATTGCTTTACTGCAATCATCTTGATGTTACACAACACAGCCTTCTATTTATTGTTTTTATTATTTTTTGTGACTACAATACAACGACGTCATTTCGGGTCAACTTACGGTAACCCACACACAATACAGATGCAAGAGAGAGATAAAACATAAAAAGTGACCTTGCAAAGGTTCATCTCAATTATTGCAACTCTTTCCTTGATTAATTAAGAAAAATTTTGTTAATTAGGTGACTGTAGAAAAATATTGTTCAAATCAGTGAACGTCAGCAGTAATGAATTTCAATTACGATATTTCAAAACAACGATTTCTTCAGTGTTGAGGCTTTTTAATCGACGAGATCATTGTACGATCAGGTGGCGCCACTTGCAGTGTCCCGTGTATGGAATATAAATTGTAATGTTTTGTATGACAAATGGTAAATGTCTTGAGACTGAGGGATTTCAACTCGGATCCGGATCGAAGCATCTGGAAGTGTAGCAGATGCGAAGAGTTCGAACACCTGTCTCGATTTTAATCGGTTCGGTTGGACAATCGAGGAAGAATTTTAAACTGAAAGGTTGCAGAGAGAATTTTTCTTTTAAAGAGAGTAGAATAAATTTTGATACTAAAGAGAAAAATAAAAAAACATTTAATCAGATTTGTTGTTTCAGTAGATCGATTGGTTTGGAAATGATCAAGTAGTTGTGTTATTGTTTTACAACTATTTAAGACGTGACGTCAATTCCAAGATCCAAGGAAATGTTATAAACATTATTTTTCTCCTGAAAAGTCATTGTTTGTACACAAAATCGTAAAATTGTTATTATTACACTGCTAAATAGTCACAATTTGTGACAATTTGTCGAAATTCAAACAATTTTCTCATTTTTCATCGAAAAAAAGAATGGCTTTCATGCGTTTGTAAAGAATTTCCTGGAACTCGACGTCACATTCGCCGGTGTTTGTTTATGTTTTTAAAATCTCAATTTTATTCAATGTATTCATGTTTTATTACGAAATGTAAACAATCTTTCATTTCCCATATTCACTACACTTTGATCATCAAAATGTTGAAAAACAAACATAATTTGTCGTCAAATTGTTACAAAGTAAGTTAAAAAGTTTCTTCCCAAATTTGAAAATACTTTAACTTAAAATACTGTAACTTTGGGAGCCAAATTTCATAATCAAATTGATAGAAATATAACTAAAAATCTTCTCATATCAAATATCGGTCAAACTGATAGCAGTTGAATGATGTGATAAAAAAATAATTTTAACCAATAATGAAGAAACATTTTTATAGAGAAAAAATATATTTTTCCGAAATCGTCACTAGTTACATAAAATCGTCAGTAAGTAGTCTAAAAATCGGCACTAAATAGTTTATTATATAAGTACAGAGTGGTTATAAATGATTTTCATCTAGCCAGCTTTGGAATTTTTTTGCATGTAATTTTATTTGTGCCGCTCTAATTTTTTAAAAGCTCTAGTTCTGTCATTAGTGTCACTTATTAATTAATAATAAATTGTTGTTAATTAAACATTTATTGTTTCAACTAATTTCCAATAATAATTGATAATAATAAATACTTTGGAAGAAAACAAGTTTATAATTGAAGTGGACGCTTAGTAAACGGCGATTTTTTAATTTTGAGTTAAGACAAGTATAGGTACCCCTATTTTCGTAAAATGGCATTTTTTATTTTACATGAAAAATTCACAGCTGGCTAGATAAAAATCATTTATAATCACTCTGTACAATTTTGTGTGTTGTGGGTTGAGAACATTAATAACAGTGTTGTCAAATTATTATTTTAATATATAAACATGAGATAAAGACAATCCTATTGTTAACGTGTATCTGTTGTAAGTATTGGTTTTTATTTCTACAAATATTTTTTTCCTGTTTCGTGGTTTTGTATGGTGGCTTTTGCGGTTTATGGACGCGATCTACTATTGAAACGAGAAATCTGACAACACTGAAACCACTGGAGTAAATTGTCAACTGTCTTAATAATAACCTAACCTACAAAAATAATTTTGTCCATATTTAATATTTCGGAAACAATTTTTCATTACTCATGTGTTTTATTTACCCCGGATATCACCTCGGCAACTAAACACACATTCGTGAGGGAAGATAAGACTTTTGAATGCCCTGATACATAAATAACCTTTTTATTATTGGTGAATCTAATTTTGAAAAATCAAAATTCGAGGCTTTACTAACAAAAACCGTCACTGTTATCGTTATTACTTATTAATTACTAACTGTACTTTTGATAAATCAAGTAGGTAGACAGTGTTCTAATTTCATTTTTGGAAAATAATATATAGGGTGTTTCACATAATTTTACGAGGATTGCGCCTGTAAGATGCAATCAATAATACATATTCCGATACGAACTCGATTACAAATTTTGTAAAATTGGATAATTTTCTCTAGTTTGTTCACCCTTTCAAAAATTACAACGTTTTTAGTTAGTTAGTGATTAATATAGATAAACTACAATCATATTCATGCCGTCTCTTGATAGAACAAATGATAATTGTTTCTCAAAAACTGCAATTTATGACTATTAATAAAACAGGGATTAGTTTGACAACTACTGTCATGGGTTTCCAGAAATTAAATAATTAAATGTGTATTTTTTGTATTCAGTGTTCTGTGACTTTTGTATATTTGGGTGCGTACATTAGGCGCAAGCCTCGTAAAGTTATGTGAAACACTCTGTATAATGATTTGAATTTATAATTCGAGTAGACGGTTCTGCTTAGTGGTCTGGCGCAAAGTCGCAGAAATTGTTTTTTTTTTAAATAATTAAAAAAATCTACCTATAGAAATTCTATTACTTACCCTGTATTAAGTTCTAATGCAAACATTCCCATACAAAACTGATTAATTATGACAGTCAGTGTTGCCAAAAAGTAAAAAAAAAACAATGCCTACTGTAATAATAACAAAAATCAAATTCGGAATTTCAATTTTGACAGTTTTTGACAAATGACAGTTTTTGTGAATCAAAGAGATTATGATTTTGTCTTTCAAAGTCTCCCAAGACAATATTTGTTATAACAGTTTTTAATTTGTTTCTTTGAAGATTGATTCAGTTAATGAATACTTTTCGATGTGGCCTTCGCTTTAATGTATTTGTGATTTTTCTCGTAGTGCAATCAAGTCGCAATGTCCGAAATGTCATTAGTGACAGCCCAAGTCTCTAGATGTGGAATCATTTGAATCACATCAAACTGATCAGCGATAACTTTCCCATATGTTTACAATTTTTTTTTTATCTAGGAATCGGTTTAAAAGTCAAGAATGTGTTTTCGCATTATGCATGCATCCACGGCGATAAATAAACCAATCGATTGTTTTCTTGGTCGTTTGTGACATTTTAAAGCGCACACTCTTTCCAAGATTTCACAACCGAATCCGGGGAAGGGGAACCGCTCGAGAATGACTAGAAGGAAGTCCCCGAATCATGAAATCGCGTGATTAGGGAATGCCTCCTTTAAAACCCAAATAAAAACAACGACCCCCTCCCTCGACGGCGTCCTTGACCCGCTGGTGGCTCCCGTCTGGCCCGAGCAATTGTCAAAGTGTCCCCCAGTACGTTCTTTTGTTCATTGGGGCAACGCTCGAGACAGACGCCAAGTCGGATCGGCGCCCGGCAGCCCCACTCACCCTGCGTCCTCCTCCTCCTCCTCACATGGCGTCCAGGGGCGCGTCACGAGGGGGCTCCAGCGGCCATCGCGCACTTAACCCGCACTCAATTCGGATAAATCAACAGATACTGCGTCGACAATACGCACTAAATATGATATGGTGGCGAGCGCGGCGCCATGTTTACTACTGCCGTCTCTCTCAATGACTAAGACACTTCTCCGGGTCCGATGCGGCGTCCTTGTCGCACGCACACCAACCGCCTTCTCGCCTCTCTCTCCAACTCTTTCCTCGAAAACTTTCAAACCTGTTTCAGCAGCTGTCTCTCTCTTCGCTCGGATTCACCTTACCGTTCTCTACGTCATGCTTTCTCTTTCTAAACATCTCACTCTTCATTTTGCGCGAACACAACACAACACAACACGCGATCGGGAACAAAGTCGAAAAGGGGGCGAAATGCGCACAAGTAAGCCGAGTTTTCGACCAAGACTGAACCAATTTTACTGTCAAGTTGGCACAAACGACGATAACAAACGAATACGCAAATACGTACGCGATGACTGATGGTTTTTTATCAAGTTATCGGTGCGCAACCTATCATTGGCTAAATATAGACAGCGCGTTTAATAAATTCGACGAATTCTGCACGGGATCGCCCAGAACACGCCTCCGAACAAGATACGACGGCGGAATTTCCTCTCGGAGCTCTTCGGCTAAGGGGGCACACACGCAACACGGACTGGCCGACGCCATCAAGCAGGCGATGAGCCGGGACGTATGTCGCACATTACTTCAACTGTATAAATTTTTTTGGTTTATACAGAGTTAACTGTCAAAATTTTTTTTGGTTTATACAGAGTGTCTCCAATAATTTACTTTTACATTGGAAAATTATTTTGTCCAGCTAAATTTCAACTTGCTTGATAAGTCTCTGTCGCCGTTCACCACTTGAAAAACTAAATTTGCGCTTACTTTCCAATTTTCTAAAAACTTTTCCAGTGCATTTACGTAACATACGAAGCTGCTTGCTTATTTTTTCAATACAGTTTTGAAGAAAAAGTGCTCTCAATTCTCAATCTTGTGCATCAAAATATCGAGAGATTAAGATAATTTGTAATCGAGACATCTTTGAATCTGAAAACGTATGTCTGATTTTGAACTAACTGCTCGTGTCAAATTAAATGTCAATTCGAAAGGTAACAGCAAAATGGGCTGGAACTGATCGCCGATGTACCGTGCGATCAAAAAATAAATAAATTAGAGTAGGCATCGATTAAATTCTACAGTTGGCAACACATCTTCCACACAAACTGAAAGTGAAAATGACCATTCACCGTTTTCATCTTGTGCCGCAAAAAAAAATTCTGCTCTAAAGTGAACATTATTTTACTCAAAATGAATAAAACGCAAACTTGTCAAAGTTTCCGCTGACATTTGATGTCAAAAATCAGGATTGCAATCTGAAGGACTTTAATCACCGCATACTCTATTTTTTTTTTTTTTGATGACACGTTATAATAATAGGATCGTCCTTTTTTGAAGGTATATTAAAAATTTAGTTATTAAAATCATCATCTTTTTGATCATGCCATTTAAGCTTTCGACTTGTCATTTTATTTGACGTTTCCGACATACGTTTTTGTATCCAAGGATAACTCGATATAAATATCTTGATCTCCCGATATAATATTTTAAATCTATAATAATAAGTGATGATACAAATTCAGACAAAAATTGAGCGTGTGGTGTACTGTATTTTTTTATTCGTGTGTTAGGTCAGGTCAGGTCAAGTCAAAAACGTATCTTGAATATATAAATACTTGTCAGTTATCTGTCAAATTTACCAATTTTTGAACATCTATCTTGCGTTAAACAATGATAAAAATCATCATTTTTTTATTAAACGATGAAAGAATCAGCAACAACATTTTCAGGACCACCGTTATAATGTTATACAGGCTTTTGTCATTTTGTGGAACGGAACAGTCAATGAAAGACATACTTCATGAAATTGTCACAACACTCTTGAATAAAATCTTTTATGAAATCAGACGAAGAAAAACTATACATAATAGTGTTCAAGCTTAGATACCTACTTTTTGCTTTTCGATTTCAAGATTTTCGAAAATGTTTGGATATTAGTTATTAAAGATACTATTTAAATGACGTATGACATTTTTTTTCTGGTATTTAGTTATCTGAAGTTCTTTAGTTATCTTTTTGTAATAATATGTAGAAATTTTGGTTGGCGATGTTATTTCTTAAAACAGTTAAATGAAATTTTGTTTTGTTAAATTAAATTGTCCTTCAACAAGCTAAGAAGTTTTACAACCTCATTTTTTAAGCAGTCATTTTGACATATTAAGTCTGAGACACATTAGTAGGTACACAAAAAACAATAAAATCTTGTTTATACATAGTAGTTTAAAATATGTATCTGTTATGTGTTTATACAGGGTGTGTCAGCACTCGCGCCTTAAAGAAAAATTTCAACTGAGATAAAATAGAAGAAACATGGAAAAAATGTTTAAAAAATTCTATCTGTCAAAAAATTTTGACATTTGTTTTTTGACAATTGAAATTTTTTTATGTCTATTTAATAATACTGATGATCTTGTATACGTTTTTTTTTATAATTATTTAGTAAAGGTACAAAAATGTTGCCAATAAAAGCCACAAATAACATTAAACAGATTTACAATTTAGGGTACCTACAGCTTCCTTGTTTCCTCTTTCTAATAGCCTGTAGGAAACAAACTTAGAAATAAATAGAGTCAAAGTGCAAAATTTAAACTCTCATAACTTCGAAATTTTTATAGATATTATTTTTTAAACATTTTTCCATGTTCTTGGTATCGTACCTTACATGGAATTTTCCTCTGAGGCGCGAGTTCTGGCGCACCGTGTATTAAATAACAATTAGAGGGTGCAAATACAGGGTGATTCAAAAGTGTCGGGCCAACTCTCGAATGGTGATAGGCCTTCAGCGGAGCACAAAAATAATTTCACATTTTTTTCAAGCCTTTTTTGGTAAAAACAACAATTTTCGTGTTATCATGTAGGCAAGGCACTTTTGTTTCCAATGTTGTCGGATTTAATTTATTGTTAAATTTGTTAAATGTTTTGTATACCATAAGACACAAATTGGTGATTTTTTTAACAGGTATCAACAATGTTGCAAGATTTGTCGTTTCCGGTAACTAAATTAAGAATATGATCTGAACTTAACCTAAAATCTAATATTTAATTAATGAATTTAATTATCTCGTGAAAATAAGTTCAAACAATTTTTTGTCATGGGAACTTTTAACTCAGTTAAACAAGATATGGTCCGAGACTTTTGAATCACCTTGTACAAAATAATTTATTAAAATTTAGTAGCTAGTGTAAAAAGTGTCAGAGAGACTTAAGTGTAGTTATACATTTTACTTTATTTTTAAATTTTAAGCGAGTGATTGTGTAAAACACACTTTGTAGTGTCACTTGGTGGCACTGTAGTCACTACTAATCAATCCTTTGTCGTTATTGGTTAATAAAAATTGTTGTAATTGAACAACAATTTAGGTCCAAAGTTTTAAGCACTTTTCCCTTGAAAACAACGTCGCCTCAAAATGTCAATTACTTATTTAAATTCCTTTAGTTGGACGAGTGATTTCTCACGATGTGAATACTGTATTTTTCTACTTGTAGTAATAACTTTTCCCTTTGTTTCATCCATGATTCATTTACATCGCGTCCCATCTGTCATATTTAAGATTAATGTTGTAAAGTTCAAACGAGTTCAGGAATCCCGCTTGGATTATGTAAACGCAGAAACGCTACAGGATGACTCGTAAAAAGACATCACGTCAAGGTTGATTCACCCTGTACAACATCACGTAAAGTAAAAAGCTACAATTTTCGGCCCTTGTGTCACAATTTCTTTCATTACCGGCCGATGAACTCTGCCTGTATGGCGACCCTAACAGCCGACGGAATCTCCTGTCGACCTTCTCTCTCTTGCTAGAACGGTCGTCCTTGTTTTATGTAACAGGTTATGTCGCCTTCTCACTTTCGGAATCTCCCCTACGTCCTTGTCCAAGCACCACGTATGAATGAAAGGCGTTATTATCCGCGCTTGCTCTTCGATGGTCGGCGACCGCAACGACCGGATTTATCGACTCCGGGAGTCCGGGCAGGTGTCACAGGGACCCCAAATGATAACAGTCCCCCCATCAAGGGGGAGAATGTTAATTAATCCAAAATCCAACACCGGTTTGACTAAAATGATGATCCCATATGTTGTATAAAAAATACGTGACACAATCCTAAAAAATACAGGGTGTTCCGTCTAAACCCCACATTAGAAGTATTGGAGTTCGAATAATCGTATTTATTTGAAAATTGGTACATAGCCATAAATCATTAAGTCCTCCTAAATGAAAATATTTTCAAGATGGCGGCACTTCCGCTTATACCGAAAGTCGGTCTCAACTTTCTTATTTTAAATGGAAAGCTATATTTTTTACTGCGTTTTTGGATTAATCGGATTATTTTAAGGAAGTTTTCATCAGCTTTCCCTATACTTAAATTTAGCCGTTTTTGGAATATTTGGACTTTTTCAATAAAATTTGGATCTGCACCTTCCACTTTAAAAATCGGGAACTCTGCTGTTTTTTTAAATTTTGAATTCGTTTTTTGGCGTTTGAAAGAGAAAGTTTAGATCTTGCTTCCGGTGTTTTCAAATTTTGAAAAAAAAAATTAACAAACCATAAAATTTTAAGGTTACTTTTGTAATAATTCAAATAGCCATAACTCAATTTTTTCAAATAAAATACCCCAATTTTTATTTTACTAAATAGAAGAGAATTTAATTTTGCATTGATCTGTAATTCCCTATACCTAAATTTAATAATTTTCAAGTTATGGACTTTTTGTTAAGACTACAGAAAATTTATTACTAGCCACACCCGTTTTCACATAGTTTGCTGTGGAAATCAAAATTGTCAAAATTTTCTCTAAACAAACGTCAACAGTAAATTACTATTTGACAAATAGTGCCAAAATATAAAGAATCAAAGTTATGCCAACTTAATTATTATTGATAGGTTCTACTATGTGATTATTATTTAAAGCTAACAAATGCGAAAAATTTATTTTTGTTTAATGAACGACATCATAATTTTGTTACACTCTCCATAAATACAAAATAAATTAATTAAATCTAAGTTTGAGTAGCTTTGACTCACCATATTTTGGCACTATTTGTCAAATAATGACGTTTATTGAGAAACAATTTTGACATTTTTGATTTCCATAGCAAACTATACGAAAACGTAATAGATTTTCGACAGTCTTAACAAAAAGTCACCATAACTTAAAAATTATTAAATTTAGGTATAGGGAATGTTAATACAGATCGATGCAGAATTAAATTCTTTTCCATTTAGTAAAATAAAAATTAGGGTATTTTATTTGGAAAATTTGAGTTATCCAAAAATTTTTGAAAAACTCCAAATATTCCAAAAACGGCTAAATTTAAGTATAGGGAAAGCTGATGAAAACTCCCTTAAAATGACCCGATTAATCCAAAAACGCAGTAAAAAATATACCTTTCCATTTAAAATAACAAAGTTGAGAACGACTTCGGGTATAAGCGGAAGTGCCGCCATCTTGAAAATATTTTTATTTAGGAGGACTTAATGCATCATGGCTATGTACCATTTTCAAATAAATACGATTATTCGAACTCCTAATACTTCTAATGTGGGGTTTAGACGAAACACTCTGTATACAGGGTGTTTTCTCAATATTGTGAAAAATGGCACGATTTTAACAAATTTGTGTTATTTTTCGATGTGGAACTGTGGTTGCAGTTTTCTGCAATATTGAGAAAACATGTATACAAAAACTAATTTTTTTCCTTGAAATTATTTCTGAAGCAGTTGAATTTGTTTCTCAAAATTTCTTCCGAGCCCTCTCGAAGGAAAATCTATTTTTGAGGAAGTGAATTTAATTTTAATTACCTCCTGAAATGGCCAACTCCCATAAGAATATTGGCTACAAATATAGAAAGTCGGCAGCTGAATTGAAGGTTTTTGCGTGTTGCGAGTGTCCAAACAGGTTTTATTATCACGTCTCGATCAAATTTCTACGCAAACATTTTTGCATAACACGGGACTAAAATTTTGTTGTTATCGGATCTATTTTTGTTGTATCACCTTTGCATGTCGTTACGTAAATATTTCCCTACAATGCATTTTACAATTTAAAGTAGATGGTAATGGGATTTTCTTCAGTTTACAAAAAGATAAAACAATCTGCTCTGACTACGCAAATACTGGCTCATAAATCTCATGTGACTCTCCCCATTCACTGCTTTTTTACTGATTACGATTTGTTTTCGTCGCGTGAAAGATCAAAATTTGATTTGTGATTTCTCGACCTCTGATCGTTCCGTTATCGGAAATTATTGGCGCCAGTGGTGGGGATTTTAATTTCCAATTCTTTAGGATTTGGATTTTTGGGGCATAGTGGTACCAAAATTGCAACAATCTACATTTATTTTGTAAAGTTCTCTTTTCACATAAAACATCATAAAAATACTCTTAGTACAGTGTTAAAAGTCTAAGCGATAACACCCGACATACATTATAGTCACATTTCGAATAATTTATTGCTAACGTTTTGGAAAAGAAATCTCATCGCTTTAATTTCCACCAAATTATCACAAATTCTCTACCCAATTGCTTATATCACATTTCCCTCACTCCCCCTGATTAGTGTTGTTAATCCCTCAAAACAAAGTAATCATAATGAAATAAAAACTGGACACGATCATTATTGAAAGCCAACAATACATAAATAAATTAATAAACAGATTTCGCGACGCTCTTTTTCATATTTTATCGTCGTCTTCTGAATGCATTTCTTCGGCTTCGGTGGCGATTTCTGCCGTCTGCATCGAGACATCTTTCTCCGAAGTGATGCTTTTGCTGGTTGAGGGTTTGGCTGAGCCCGAAGAGCCTTGGTCTTCGCACGAGGGACACTCGAAGTGGACGCAGTGGAACACCTCATTGGCCGAATTGTGCGTGCCCACGATCCGGATGAAGACCACTGGTCGTGGAGGGAATCTGATGAGTTGCCAGGATTTGCAGTTTTCGCGAGTGTGGTCCACCACCATTTCCCAATCCCAGACGTTCACCGACGACTCGATGTAGTAGCTGTAAGTGCGGTCGTCGCAATCCCACAGGAGCAGCCGGAGGCTCGATATCACGTACGGCTGGCCTGGAGATTTTTATTTATAACTATTTATAAATTCATGAATCAACCCAAAAAAGTCATAATTTTTCATGTACCGAGTGACTGTAAACGATTGTGACAAAAATCTATTGGCAACACTGAGTTTCAGACACGGTGTAAGATATTTAGGTGATGCAGCGCGCCCTGCAAACGTGTCACGCTCAATTTAGAGAGAGATAGCGTAATCGGGCCATCATTATTATCAATAAATGAAGGAATGGACCGAAAAGTTGCAGTTGTATAAATGATAATAGTTATAATTAAAAAAAATATACAATACACGTCATATACCTACTACCTATACATCTGAATTTAAATTCTATAAGAAATATTATCTAAATGATAAAGCTTTGCTTGAACTTTTTTTTATTACATGTGTTTCTGTTGCGAAACGTAAAACAAATATATATTATATTAAATGATTAGTAAATTAATAGGTACATTAAAAAATTAAATAAATTATTACTTAATTAAAAATAATTCTTTTTAAATAAGGTAATTTTATGAAACGGAATATCGAAGACAAAGATTTTTCAAGAACATAAACACCTACATATTTTGTAGGAGCATAATATTCTAAGGGCCAGTTGCATAATCAAATTTAAAGGAGCATTAAATTAAATGTTGTTTAGAATGTGCTAATTACTACGGACTCCTTGAGCAAAATTTTACATTCTAAACCAACATTAACTTTAAAGTTTCTTTAATTCGATCATGAAACTGGACCTAAGTAAAATTTAATTCTAAATTTAAAAATATTAGGAATTGTAAAACTGCCGTAACACACCATCAATTTATCAAAATTTTGTTGTTAATTAATTCAGTTTTTGGACTGTAGTTATTTTTGTATCCAGAAAAAAATTAAATCAGAGAGATCAAATATATAAAGTTTATTTCACACCTTGCGTCGATTACTACTTTTTTAAATAACGTTACTTTGAACTGAACTTTATTTTATAATTATTGAAATCACATTAATTATCACCATTCGCAATCGAATGTAAAGACCACAGACTAGAAGGTAGATAAATAAATAGAATAAACCTTTATTCTTATTTCCAATTTTTTCAAATAAATTTTGTTAGTTATTCAGTTCAGCTATATTTGATTCTTCTACTAAAATAAATAAGCAAATTATTATTACGATTGATAATTATTAAAAACAGCAACCAAAAAAATCTAAATTTAGAGTTGCTTTTTCAATTCTTTTTGCTTTTCTCCTTCGTTTAACTTGTGGTTCAAATTTAACAATATCCTGGACAATCTGGAAAAATAGTTAGTACTGCTTCTTCTTCTAATTTTGGCTTTTTGAGATAAAATTTGACAAAAGCTGTTTCAATCTAGAAAAAATATGTTTTATGGTGTTTATAATTTTAATTAATTTTCTTTAGATTTACCGTATAACAGCCAGTTTAAATTTCACGAATTACATGTTTATATTTGACAGTCATAGTTGCCATATTAAAATTTCAAATTTCTTGCCAACGTGACGACAAAAATCACAATCGTTTAGAGTCACTCGACACAAAGTTAACAAGAATATGACTGTTTTAATTGGCAACAGATTTAAAAATATTTTCTTTTTCTGCAATTTGCAATACTGGTTTTGGTTGAAAAATATTTCACATAAAAAAATTGATAGTTACGTCTCCATTTAATCTGTCAAGCTGTCAACCCAATCGGAAGTGTACTACTGTGGTGCCATTTAAAAATAAAATTCAGAATTGCCAATTGAAACAGTTTTTTTTTTTAATGTAAAAAATGTTTTAAATATTTTTTTCCATTTTAGTTTACGTAAAAATTCAAAATTATGCAAGCTGGCCTCAACGTTTATAATTTTTGACACATTCTGTGAAACTAACTTATACCGAGTGATTATAAATAACTGAGTTTTGAAAGCACAAATTTGGAATCTTAATTTGGCAACAATGACTGTCAAATATAATCGTTTTAGGCATTCATTAGGTACAGTTGGAGACAAAATACTTTGGTCGTCACTTTTCTGACTGAATTACAAATGTAATTCAAGCTTTAACGTTAAAATGAATGACAATTTCAAATTAATGACAGCTATTATATAGGAGAAAATCATCAAAGTAGCTGACCTCTGGTGTCTGGCTTGGAACTATCCAAATGGGAAAAACATTTTGACAATAACAGTTTTCCATTTTTGTCAATTTGACAAGTCAATGTAAATGTGAGTACTTGCTAGCGTTTTGCTTCCCACTTCATTGCAGAAACTGTGTGGGAGGGTCTATTTCGATGTATTACTTTCTAAAATGAAGATTTCAACTTATGGCATTATTATTTTAAATAAAAAATACTTCTACAAAACGTAAGGTGGCAGATTAAATAAAACTTTTAAGTTGTCACAAAATTCCGGCAAAATCGCGCCAAAACGTCGCTGCGCCGTCGTCTAAGCTACCCACCAAAATTAGGAAAAGAGACATCTGGCACATCAACTGTAAACTATTCAAATGGGGAAAACATTGATGTTTTAGTTCCATCTATTGGCGGCTGATTTTCTCCTATTTTCCTATCAAAAATATCTACATACAACTTGTCAACTATGATTGACAGTAGCTAAATATAAGGTTAAGAGTCCTAAAGCATGCTTTACAATTTAATGTCACTCAAGTGACATTGACGACCAAAGTATTTTGTCTCCAACTGTACCAATAAATTTTATGTCAATCATTTACAGTTACTTGATATCTACAGAGTGGAAATAGTTGCCTATAAAATTGTGACATTTATACTTGACAGACACGGTTGTCAAATAAAGATTTTAAATTTGTGTCCGACGTGATGACAAAAATTACAATGATTTAGTCACTTGGCATAAGGTTTAGTTGGCAAAAAATTTGAGAACATTTTCTTTTTCTACAATTTGCAATACTGTAACTGGATCTGGATGACAAATATTTGACATCAAAAATTGTTGGTCAAATCTATTTAATCTGAATGCCTTTTAAAGTGTCAAATTGACGCTGTCAGTGCCAAGCTGTCAACAACTAGAGTACTCCAGTGGTGCCATTTAAAAATAAAATTCAGAATTGCCAAATGAAACAATCTTTTAACTACTTTCTAAAAATAAATGTTTTCAGTGTTTTTTTCCATCATTAATAAAAATTCAAAATTATCCAAGGTGGCCTTAACGTTTACAATTTTTGCTACTTTTTGTTATATTTTGTTTTGTTACACCAAGTGACTATAAATGATCGTAGGTTTTGTAAGGATATTGGTAAGAAATATTTTGGCAATCATGACTGTCAAATATAAACGTCACAACAACTGTCAATTCATTACCAATAATACAGTGTTGTCAACAGATTTTGTTTGTCAATTAATTTACAATACAGGGTGGAAACTGTAAGATTTCCATTTGTTACCTAGTTGAATTAGGATGGCCCCCGAGCCCAGCTGGTGGCACGTGTACCCCGAATCCCAATCGTAATGCTTCGTATCGCCGTTCAAGAGGGCGTTTCTCGACCGACTCACGCCTTCTATAACCACAGCACTCTTATCCAAAGTCGCTACGTTGTAATTCGGACAAATTATATCATTCACCATTTTTGGAATGCTTAATTTACACGATGCTTCAAACGAAACTAAATGAAACACCTAAAATTAACTTTTACATAAATGAAAAACAAAAAACCCTAAAACACACCTTATTGACAGTGTTATGCGTACCGACGATTCGAATAAATTGTACGACGCGGTTTTCGAAATACAAATACTGCCAAGACCTACAACAATAATGACTATAGTCCACGACTCTGACCCAGTCTTTTTGCTCCATAGACACTTCGATATAGTACGAATATGACCTGGAAGTAGGATTATTTTACAAAACGAAAATGAAATGAAAGTGAAAGAGTCACACCTCAAATCGCGGTCCCACAATAACATACGTATATGGTTGATGATTGAGGGCATTCCCAGTTTTATGATAATCCCTTGATCACCGGGCCCGTTAATGGGATGTCTCGTGTACCCCTTTTCCATGTCGTAGGTGTAGTAATCGCCGTCTAGTAAATACTCGAGTAGTTCCCCGGCGACGACTTTCGAGCCCATTCGAGGCGACGCAACATTCTCCTCCAAAACTACACAAAAATCGATTTAACCATCGTAGCGAGTGAAAAAAAAAACCCTCAAACTTACTCAATTGCCCCCGATGAGGCAGACTACTCAATCTCACATTGGTCCGTTCCGCTATCGCGTCCAAAAGGGCGTCCGGTTTGACTAACCCCGCCGGCCTCACCACCGACAACAAATCGGCGACACTCATCAACGGCAATCTCACACATTTCATAACGCGGTCGTCCTTATCGTCATTCGCCGTGCACCACGTGCACACACCCCGGAATATCTCCACTTCCGGGGCGAAAAACGAGTCCCTTTGTAACAATTCCACGAGCGACGCCTGGGAAAGCTGCAGGAATGACTCGTGAAGCAGAATTTCAGAGGCATGTCGGTCCAAAAACGCGTGACAAACGTCCACTAATTTCTCCAGCCCGTACAAATGTGCAGTGTCGAGAATCGCACACACGTTGCGCAAGGCCAACAGTTGTTTGAGGATGTCGGATATTGCCGTCTCCAAGTCTTGAAAGCCGTATTGGTGGGCCAAACCCAAAGTGTCTAAAATCACGTCCTCTTTCAGAGTCATTAGAAACATGTGGCCAGAGTAGATGTATTTTAGGAGGATTTTGAAAGCCTTGACGGGGGCATCGGGGAGCACGATCTCCGACTGGTTCGATTCCTTCAAGCCGCCGTAGAGCAACGCCCGGAAATACTCACTTCTTGCCGCCAAAATCACCTAAAATTGAAATAGTGATTCAATTGCAAGTCCTGGCGTGTTTTCCGCATACCTTGTGTGCGTAGAGCTTCTGCCCCTCGACTACGAGCGTGATGTCCGCATATTCGTGGCTCAAGCACAGCGAAGACAGGTTCTCTGAGAGCTGAGCCAAGTGTTCGATATCCCCCAACCGGACCACTGTGGAGTTCTTCGTGCTTGAATTTTGCATGTATTGCGAACTGCTGCTCATCTTGGCATCGAAAACTGATAATTTTATCTTGTTGTTGCGAACTTCATTGAACAAGTTCAAAAGAAAGTCGATCAAAATATGGAAAGTTTGGAACATTTCGGGAGGGGCGAGTACTTACATTGCTTATTACTTGTTATTATTACTGTTGCACCAAAACACTCAAAAAAACATCGCAAATGCGTCCCTCGCAACTTGACAGATGTCAGCTGCCATCTGTCAAAATTCGCAAGTGACGCCATCTGCAACACTGGACAGGTCAGGAATCAAAAAATTTGAAATTACTGATTTTTATTTAACATCTAAAAATGTAAAAAATTTCACTCTTACATACACAAGAAGAAACTATCTGACATTATCTTATAAGTCTTTCAAAACAGAGTAGTGGCACCGTTCCAAATCAAACAAAAAATTATCACTTATTAGGAATCATTAAACGTAACTGTACAATAAATAATAAAAAGGAAGACGGTTAACAATTTTTGTGACCCTTGGATGTCATTCTTTGCAATTAATCTCACAACCAAATCTAATAAAATTTCTTTGCTTGACTCTCTTTACTGTCCCTGCAAAATAAAAAGTAAGAAGCTGCAAAATCCGGAAACCACAACTTACCTATACAAATTGTAGCCTAAAATCACCACCAATTGCACTACTGTTATCACCAACAGTGTTGTAACCGAAACGCAAGAAACACTAGGACACCCCCCAGGACTTTGATCGATTTTTTGCGCCACTTGAGCCACATTTTGCTTGACATGATTCAACCCGTCCCTCATTTCCGAAATAAGCGACTGTGTGTCGTACCCCACCGACTGCACTTGAGCAGTCGGTTGTTTCGCTTGATTATTCAAAATCGTATCAGCTCTCGTTTTTAATTCCAGAATAAATTGACGAATTTCTCTCGCCGTGTTCAAAATTTGATTCTGATTGTTGAAAACAGCGTCAACTTCGTGTCTTCTAATCGTATCACCGGCATAACCGCCTGCTGGTGGGGGGGCGTGACCTGTAGCCGACGGTGCTGCCACACCAACACCACCGGCACTTTGCGTAATTAAACTCATGGTGCGCTCTTGACGGCCGACAACTTCGTCCAGTTTGTTGTTCAGCTCTCTGACCACTTGGAAAATCTGATTCTGGCCTTGGAAAATCTGGCGCAACTCGCGTTGGCTGTCGGACTCGAACCACTCGTCGATGTCGGGGTCTTTCTGCAAATAAAAATTCAAAATATTTTAATTTCACGCACTCGGTACGCTGGTCTCGTGTAATAAACATTTTTTATAAAAATATGGTACACGAATCTTTCGTTACGTAACTATTTTATTAATTATCTATTCAAATGCTGAGATAAAATCAAATCACTTTCAATTCAAATAAATGACAGATCGTGACCCACTTTTTATCTGAATGACAACTTATCAATCATGGCTTGCCATAGTAATTGACAGATAAAATTTTTAAATTTTAAATGTCAAAAGTCACAAGTATTAAAAAAATTGACAATTAACCTGCTCATCGGGATGCTCTTTTCTGTACTCGGCCTTCTGCTGGTCTAATTTCCTCTGATAATCTTGGTACTCCTGGGTCAGTTTTTGTTGCTCCTCCCCCGGTACTGCAACAGCCAATCAGAAACAATTTTTGAGTACTACCAACTGACATACCGGCATTCGATGTGCTGATTTGTCCCGGGAGATGCAAGCTATTGGTCAAGAAATGAATGACGTCATGATCATCAGCCAAGCCTCCTGTGGCGGCCGAAAGTCCAAAATAACCGTTTTTGGGCAAGACGACGTTTTCAGCCCTCAAACAAACCTCATAGTCCTGTTCATTATTGGTCATACCATTATGGAATAATACTGTTAGAATATTTTGGTAATATTCAACTCTGGCTCTTGTGGGGAAAGGTTTGTTTCGGAAATCACGTAAACAACCGGCCAACATTTGAGTACTCCCATCACTTAAAAAAAAAATATGATTTTGTGATAAAAACGTGATAAGAGAGTTACAGTTGATGGGCGAATTGTTGGGTCCCGTCGTTGACAACAGCCATGATGTAGGGGTTGTTGTGTTTGCCGTCGTTGTCGAACGAGTCGAAAAATATCCCGAGACCGACCCATTGGTCCGATGAGCCGAAAACATCGCCGTCGTAGGCCCCCTTGCTTTGGGTGTACCAAAACGCCTGAAATTTTCACCTAGAATCGGTTTTGTGCAGATTTGAGACTCACCAATCCGTCAGCCCCCACTCGGCCTCGTCCTGTGACTCTAAACGCAATATCGACTTCCCACCAGTCGAAATTGATAGGGTTTTTCGTCCATATAGCCCCCTTCTGACTGCGAAGAGACGGCGCGATTCGGACTTTTTCAGCGCTCGCTATCGCGTCTAAAATTCAAACCAAAACAAATCACAATTTAAACTAGCGATTCATTCATTTTTGTGAGAATTTTCGCAAAACAGATGTGGTTTTGTTGGTTAGATACGTGTCAAAAATATGTCAATACGGGACAAGACTTCATCGGTCGTCTCTGTCGGATTATGTGGATTAGACAGAGATGTGTCGATAATGATGTGTCTGTGATTGGTGTCTAAAACTACCTACGTGTACTTGAAAAATTCTACTTACTGCCACCGTATTCCCAAAAGGGTACCGAACCGTCCTTTTGGGCCAAGTATGGAGGCTTGAACGAATATTTGTACTCAAATTTTTTATGAACTAAATTTGCGTTCACGACATTTAAGAAAATTCCAATTAAAAACACTAACTTTTTTTTATTTAAATATAAACCTACTCGATCCATGTTTACAACACGCGCACAATCGTCGACTGGCATTGCCAACATAACAGACGCGACTACCCTAGACTCGTTGAATCGCAGCGCCAAGTTTGAATTTAAAGCAATTAAATTGTAAATTAGCAATTAGCACAGTAATTGAGCTGATAAACAAATTAGAAAAGCGAGACGAGACAAAACATACATTTGTGAATGAAAATGAAAACAATTACTTAATTTAATTGTAAAAATTTTAATTTTTTCAGGATTTTTCCAAATCTTGTGCAAGCGATTATATTACACAATTATAATTAGACAGCAATTAAAAAATAGTAAATAGCTATAGTAGAAGAATGTGGGGGAGTCATGACCTTGCGAACGGAAAGTAACCTTTTTAAAAAAGGTAATTTGAAAAGAACTAGTTTAATAAGGGCAATGATTATTTAAAAGTACCGATATTGTAAATAGTGAGCGGCTATCATGGCCTGTGACCCAGATTAACCCACCATCAACAAATATATTAGCGTTAAAGGGTAATTTTTTTATTATTGCTCAGTCTCTACTTGGACCGAACTGGTCAATTTCTGGCAAGTAATTAGTGGTGTTTGTGAGAAATAATGAAGGTTTTGGGTGTCGCATGTTGTGAGTAAAATCTTATTTAAGATTAGAAAAATACAAAAAAATTTTGGTACTTTATTCCCTCGAGGATAAAATAAAAAAAATACCTATTTTTACTGTTAAAATAAATTGGAATTGAATGAATTTAGTCTTTTTTGACATAAACAAAACCCCCTATACCAATTTTTCTCTTAAAATTCTTAAAATGAAATGAATATCTCGAAAAATTATGTTGTTATTTGACAAATTTATTATTTTCTGATGTTTGGTCAGTTAAGAGGAAAGTTTTGTATGCACCTCCGGAATAAACATCATAGAATAAAAATGCCCTCGGCAAAATGGTTTATTCTCTTGATACATAAATGATATGTTGTGACATAATTTTTAAATTTTAACGTTTTTTTTTGAGTAGCTAATTAAAAATTGTAGTGAAAAAATGCACTAAAATTTGTATTATTTTAAAAAAAAAACTTACTGAACAATTTTTCTACTTCTCTCTTTTTATATTTAATTAATAATATATATTGAAACAACTCTTTAATAGAGTATGATGATAGATTTCTCCTCCTCACTTAAATAAAAAAATCTTAAAAAAACTTTTATAAAACAAAAAATATTTTGCCTTTCTCTATTATTTGAAAAAAAAAATCGTTTTATATTACATGTCTATCAAAATTTTGAAACGTGATTCAGAATTCAGTGCAATCGTTTGAAGCCTTAATTGGTCGTGACATTGGATATTGAAAATTTTATCTGATTTAAAATTTGTTTAAATATATTCTGGTCAATGTTAAAATACCATTGAAGAAAGCAAGGGCAAAGAAAGCACAAATACGTAAGGTCATTTATGAAATTAGGTATTATATCAATTCATCTGAAATATTTCTTTTAATTTTTTAATTAATATTTCGTTAAAATTAAATGAATTACAATTGACTATAAAAATGTGACGTTTGAATTTGATAGTTTAGTTGCCAACTTAATTTCAAAGACACAGGACACCAAACATTTTATTTTTATACCGCAAATAGTTATTTTGTTTTTTTAACTGTCCCTGTTGCAACAAAATTATTTATAACCCCAGTCGTGCTCGTGTTAAATTGCGTCACTGAACTAGAATTTCAAAACTGACGCTTTTACTACACCTACAAATTTATTACTTCCAATACCGATAATTCACATTTATTTTTAGTATTAATCTTGTCTGTGTACGGGGGACATTACATAATCCCCGGACACCCCCCTTTCGACGCCTACCACGACCTGCACCTCCCTCACAACCCCCCATTACACCCAACTTGGGCCCGAGTGCCCCACACGAGTTTTACTTGTCTGGGGCGCAACCCCGGATATTACGCCGACATCGAAACCGGATGTCAGGTATCAAAATTAGCGAAAAATTGCCACATGCCGATTTTTCAATTTTAGGCTTATCATCGTTGTGAGTACAATTCTGCAGCATCATTCCTGTGCACAAATGGGACTTTGTTTAACGAACAGTTCCAAGTCTGCGACCAGTTTTACAACGTCAGGTGTGGCTCGCCGTACATAGATTTGTAATGTTTCACTCTCATTAAATTATTTATTGGCCCAAGTGTCTCATTTTCAAATTCAAACCACCCAAAAAGTGAGGTTATAAAATCATAAAAACAGACTTGGGACACAAGTGATGATAAGTGAAGCGGTATTACCTCAAATTAGAAGACTTCGCCCCCATTTCGTCAATAATTATCACATTTATTTCACAATAATCACGTTTAGGAGAAACAATTTTGAAAACACCGCATTTATTTGTTATCGCCGCCATTTTGAAACAGTGACACCAACATTGCCAATTCAGAATTTTATCATTGTTATTAAATTATTGTTACCTAAATAATTAATTAAGTTTGCAAATATTCAGAATTCGTGAAAAGACATCGCTAATGTGAAAACAGTGTAAGTGTGAGGTTAGGTCGCAATGTTTAGCGATTCGATCTACGACTGGAGGGCCCACAACAGGCAATTGGCCCTCGAGGGCCGCGCAACTTTGGAGAGAACGGGTGAAAGCCTCGCGAGGTCCAACCAAATAGCCATTGAGACGGAACAAATCGGTAACGAAGTCGTCTCCGAGTTAAATGAGCAAAGAGAAACCTTGTTGAGGACCAGAAGCCGCCTTGAAAATGCCAACGAACAGTTGGACACCGCCAAGACGGTCCTCAAGAGGATGGGGCGCAACGCCATATACAACAAACTGATCCTAATCTTGATTATAATAATAGAAATCGCCATACTTGTCTCACTCACATATTTGAAATTTTTCAAGAAATGATTTATTAAATAAAGATTATCTACATTCGTTCTGACACTCTAGACGCGATGTTTCGCAATTGCCCGTAAACCTTTGACGGTGGTGATCCTAGAATTAAGTTACAGATCGCTCTCCTGGCGAGTTGAATGTTCTGGAAACTCCCCAAAATGTGGATTTTACTGTCTGCTAGGACTATCCTAGTCTTCGTGACGTTTTCAATGGTGAATTTCGTGCGGCCCCCTTTGCCGGCGAGTCTACCAATGGCCCTGGACTGGTGGTCACCTTTGAGTGTCTTCACGTCTTTAATTTCAAAAGTCTCGATGAACAAATCATCCAAACGCATCAAAGCCAAAGCGTCATCGACGTCAAAACCGTATACAAAAGCCTGAAACACAATTTTAGCCCCAAATCGATGATAAAATCTCTTTTACTTTAACAAAATCGGCGGCTTTCTGCAAATTCCCGATATCGTCCGTCTCGTCGCACGTTTTCACCTCAACGTTGCGCGTCTTTAGGTTGAATCTCACTTGCAGTTTCAAGTGCTCCACAATGGGGGTGAAGATTTTCAGCCAGTTCTCCTTCAAGGGGGTGTATCGGTGGGCCGGGACTGGGACTTTCCGCATGTTATCCTTGGTTTCCGAGTATGACTTTGTTCTGATTCTTTTGTGTTTGGGTTTGTTCCGGACTTTTCCCTCGATTCCGTTGTGAGTGACCACGTCCATGGGGCTGTCTCCGAGCGAGTCATTTCTCCGCTTGGGGGCCTTCTTCGGCTCGAAGTGCTCGGTGTCGATGTTAACTTCGGGTTGGGAGGCCATTTTGTAACACAATACGCGGATTTTTGACGAAATTGGGCTATTTTGAAACCATCACCGTTTTAGGTTAGGTCCACGTGTTGAGAAACGTCAAAAAGAATTTCTGCGACAGTGGTACCAACCCACAAGCAATTTTTTTTTGAAAAATGAAACAAAACGTTGCGCACAAGATATAAAATATATTTCAACCGTTATTTTCAATAAATATATATGCTTACAAAAATCTTGGCGCGTACAATGTAACAAAAGTTTTTTTTAGGTTTTTGTAATGAACATCTTTTTTTTACATTTTATTTTTGTACTTAACTGACTTAAGTCTATTCCTATTAAAAATCGAAAACATTTTTAATAAGTTTTACATAAATCGATAACTTTCTCTTAAAACTATACGCTAATATAAATACTTAAACCTAGCTATCAACAACTTCACATAAAAATGTCAAAATTTAACAAATTTTTAATCTCCAAATTGTAGCATTTTGAAAGAGAACCCAACAAAACATAATTCGTTTGAAAAAACATACAAACTAGACCTAAAACGGCCAGACATCGCATTTTTTGCATTAAACACAAAATAATATTATTTACAAATGGAACAAAAAAGAATTTTCATTCACATGATCACCAGATTGAATCGAACGCAAACGATGAAATTGACGAGTTTCAGCCCCCAAATAAACGCAATTTAAAATAAAATACGTCACAGGTTGCACTGTCCTGATTCATGTCCACGTCACTTAATCTATTATATCACAATATTTTACAATTCAATTTCCTTTACAATTATAATCACACACATCGAAATGAGAATGAAATTAACAATAATCTCGGCTATTTCCTCTAAAAATTTCCATGGAAGTAAAATCTTGATTTGATATATCCTCGATATGTAATAAAAATTATCAGATAAAAAAATATTGCACCACAACGTATTGCATAAAAAACAGACGGTAAAAATAAAAAAACGCGGAAATAAAATTGTTGCGTATAGATAAATCCATCATATGCCATAAATACTCCCAGTTGTAACTGTAAATGCAAATAAAACATAACACTGGCAAACACACATAGAATTTTTAATGTAATCTCTCCAGACTGCAACAATTATGGAACGTTAGCAATATAAGATGGCTTCCTACTAACACAGAAATTTCAAGACTACAATCCTACACAATACTATGATTTAAAAGCAAAAAGAACCGGTTTTTGTTACATTTTCCTTATCGCTTACTTTTATCTTTTTTTGGCTTTTGTTTTGGTGGCTATTATGTATTTTTTTTAGTTTATCTTGTCATATCAGCAATTGCAACTGCAGAATACCAGGCATATAAACACATGCGTACCTGCTGCTTTTTTAACCTAATAAATAAAAATTAAAAAGTCAATATTGTTTGGTTTGTTTTTTACGCTTTGTTGTGGTCGACTGGTTATAATTATTGTGAGGGCTATTCTTATATTTCCGATTATTTCTCCACTGATTGTGGTTCTTTGGCTGGATGTGGCGTTGGACATGCATGTTGTTCGGTGATATGTCGCGAGAAGGAGGATCGGATCCCTATAACAACAACAACAAAAATTAACACAAAATTCTCAATCAACGAATTAACAAAATAAGAAAAATAACCCAACCACTCACTTCTGAACTGCCCCCGCTTTCCTCGACGCTGGACGTGGAACCGCTGCTGGACAACGAACGAGGGGGCCTCGGCCGGGGAATCGTGGGGGAGTTGTACTTATGACCAAAGGTTTTTTCGATCCATCGCCGGTATTGGATCACTTTGTCGGTTACTCTTATTATTCTACCTAATATCGAGTGCTCCACGCTGTGCGACGAGATTGGAGGAAGAACGGCGTTCGTTAACACTGTGTAGGCGTACTCGAAGGCCCTTTTCACCTGAAAGAAACAACAAAAAATTCCATAATTGTGTGTTTCCCCCGTTTCCATTGTCTAATCAAATTTTTTATAACACGTGTTTACTGAAGTGTTTTTGTACTTTCAAACGATTAGATAACAAGATTATCACTGTTTCATATGACCAAATTTTACTCACTATTTACCATTTCCGCGTTAAAAATTCAAATTGAAATAAATTTTATTAATCAAATAAATATTTACACGAGATATAATCTCGTGCTACAACACAAAGTCGCCTTTTATCATGTTTTGATGCCAAAAAGCGCTATTATGTAATAAAATCAAGGTCCACTCATTCGCACAATCTTAAATACACCACGTGGGCCACAACACCACTTTCTAATTGATTTAAGCTTTAAAACAAATCGTTCTTAATTATAATAAAATTCTCAATTCTTAATAAACTATTAAAAAAATTATGATGAGCATTATTTTTGGTTCGAATTTTAAATACGATTTATCATATCAATTTTTTAAATATGAGTGGGAGTCACATTAAAATATTTATTCATTCTACAATTTTTTGTTATCTACAAGTTATTTTAAATTTTTCCTAATTAATCAACATTAATTTTACAAGTTCAGTTTTCTAATTTTTATTATCCTTGCGATAGTTGGTTTAATAGTATATTATTCAACGAGTGAGAAAGTTGGTCATTTACACGAAGATGAAATTTAGAATACGAGCTGAAGGCGAGTGGAGTAGTTTATAATTTCTCACGTGTTTAATACTAATCTTAAATAAATTTAATTTTTTAATTTTTAATTTAAATAATTTTTTCCTTTGAAGATTGAACAATTTTTTTCACTGAAAACGTATGAGAAAAGTACAAATTTCTTTATATGACTAGAAAAATAATATTTCTTAAATAACTAAAACCAACACATTCCAAAAAATAAATAAAAAATATCAATGATTGAGAATAAAGTATATTAAAACACGAGTTGAATTCAAACAAGAGTTTAAAATTCCGAGACTAGTGGAGTAGCGGCGAGTTGAAAAACAAATGTTTGCTTGAATGACGTGTAAAAAGGTTTTTATACGATTTTTTCTATTTTGTGCTTTTTTTAAACAAAAAAAAGGAACTTTTTAAAAGAAAATCTATTTTGCTAAGAATTCCCTCACGAAAGAACGTTCAGTTTTTTGTTATTCTTCTAATTTCATGTTTATATTTACAAACAATTTGCTAAATTTAATACTGCGTAAGTTCCTCAAAAAAGTGTGCTATTTTTTAAGATTTCAGTCATGATTTTATACAGGGTGATTCTTAAATAGACCGACAAAATTTTATCCTTGGTAGTATCAAATGAGAACATGCTGAAAAAAATATTTAAAAAATTCTTTGTTTAACCGTTCTCCAAATAAATTATATTAAAGTTATTTTTGAGATAAAGCGTACGCCACTGACGTGTTCGTAAATAGTATTAGCACAGGTAGTAGAAACCATGGTATTAATTTGATAAAAATGTACTTGATTATTGCAACAATTCATAAACGCCGTAAGTGGCACGGATCAAGGGGATTTTGCCCCTAAAAGATATAAACCTAAAAATCGTACAGTTTACCTCCATTTATCGTTGGGAAGCTGTGATAAAATTTTGTCGGTCTATTTAAGAATCAGCCTGTATAGTCAAAAAAATTTTATTTTGAAAAGTAATAATCAAACCTGTACTTTGTCTTTAATTTAAATAGTATATTAAAACACAAGTTACAGAAGAATTTGTAATTCCGAAACGAGCGTAGCAGCGAGTTGTTTGATTCGTTTGAATGACCTTCTGTAACAACAACACTACAAAAAAAATAATAATTAGGAAATTTTGCGTCACACATAGCAGTGGAAAATTGCAAAAATTTAATTTGTCAAACTCTGGAAATGAATTCTCAAGATTTTTTCATGTACGCCACTGAAAATTAAAAGAATTGGTAAAAATTTAGAAAAGAATTTACTTTTAACGGCATTGTCACCAACTTTAGAAACATAAAATACACCAAAAGTTTACGCACTCTATTGAGTTCGTTAATAGCGTTATTAAAGACGCAAAATAGAAGAACACTTTTCCCCAAAACTTACCATTGAAATTATTATTTAGAAACAAATTTTAACCTCACGGATGTTCGTTGCTTTATTCACTAGTGGATAAAAAGCAAAAACCCTGCCACTGTTTCAACACCAACATCATCTTCCTCACCTGTATTTAGACAATTTTTTAACAAATTTTCTCAGAAAATCGAAATTCTTTGCGTGTTTGTCGTGTTTTTTTTTTTTAATATCTTAATCTAAATCAAGAAAAATGTAAAATTCACCTGTAGGACGCCGTAACTGCTTCTGCCGATGTCGTTGGATGGCAAGAGTGGATCTTCGATGCACAAAAGACTAGGCCTGTGTCCATCCACCATATCTTTTTGCATTTCTTCTTTGCTAATATACCGTCCGCCGTCTCGTATCCGAATTCCGGTATGCATATAATTGAATTTTCTACCGTATAATTCGAAAAATTCTATAAGAAATACGCCTAAATTAGGGGCCTTGTCGACAATCATTTCCGGTCGTGGATGTAACTGAAGGAAACTTATGCACATCAATATCAAACTGTAACTAGATATACCACCAGTGAACACTTCGTTTAAGTCTCTTTCTAAAAGGAACTGTTTTAAAACGTAAACTAATTTCGGCAACACTGGAAATTGTTGAATATATGTTTTTATCAGTTCGGCCGATTTGACACCGTTCGACATATTGAATGAAATGTCCACTTTTATTTCGGTCTGTTTGTCGGTTAATTTCACGATCGGCACTGACGCTTTGTCGAGAACTTTTATGCTGTTTTCTTGCGCTACGTCGTTGTCCAGGAATTCCTGTTCCAGCGTACGAAGTGGAAGATTCGACCATTTGCCTGAGAGAAACAAAAATGGATATTTAAACAACCTCACGACGCAAACTGAGGTCATTCAAATTAAGTTGGCAACACTGACTATCAAATTTAAACGTCACAATTTTATTACAGTCCGTCATCTGACACTAAACGTATAATAATATCATCAGTACTTCAGTGTTGCCAGCTTAAATTTAAAATCACAGGTCACTTTGATCGGAAATTTATTTGAAAGCATGGCATAAAACCTTCAGTTATTTTTGCTTAAATTATTATCATTTTTACTTTTATTGAGGTTTAATAAGATTAAAATATGATAATCACGCGATAACAATGTATTTTTTATGTAACTGGAATTAAATCATAAATTTGTACCTAAAATTTCTAATTTAATACACTTCCGCACATATTATTGTAGTATACCAAAATAAGTAGAAGTTAAGTAATTGTGTGCTCAAAATATTTAAAAAAAACGTAGTCAAAAAATAAATCTTTCCAAATATCTTTCCTTCAAATGTATTTATTTAGAATTTCTCAGATAAATAAAATATGTTATTTTTTTATCAAGTTGTCACTAAGTAATTTCTTGCTTTTTTATGTTACAATAACGTACTAAAAATAATTTTTGTTATAATATTTCTGAATTTTTTGTCCTTTCATACGCCCTATTTATAACCCATTCGAAAAAGAGAAGAGATTAAAATTTTTTTTTTTGTGATTTTGATTTGTTTAATAAAAATATTGGGTATTGGGCATTTTGTTATTTGGCTGTTTGCGACACTGCAACCGAATATAGTTTTACTTGGCAGATATTTGACGTAAAAATTGTCGAAGAATGTTATTAATGTCTGTCAATAACTGGAAGTTTGTCTTGTACCACTTAAAAATAAAATTCACTTTTGCCAACTTAAAACGTCATTTTTGATCACCCGATATAAAACTAAATTTTGCAATTTTGTTCACCAGTTAAAAAAACTTTCATATGCTCTATTTAAAATCCCTTTAAAAATAATTCTAGAAAGCATTTCAGAAATATTTTTTAGAGGTTTTTGATTTAATAATAATAAAGTCGCGCTCAATTCATAGTGGCCACTTCCCTGTGTAAATTTGTGTAAAAATTGAGTTGTGTAAATCCGACTTTAAACATCCAATTGTTTTTTAGGGACCTATCTATCAAAAATGAGAATTCTGAAAAAGTCGGGTTAAAACACATCACATAAATCTTTCACAATTGTTGACACAATTTAGTTATTTCTGCTACCAATATAGACACAACTCACACATTAGAGGTGGCGGGCTAAGTGCAGCCAACTTTCCAATAAATTATTGTCGTATCAACAAGAAATTACTCCCTACGATTTAGGGATATTCGTGAATAGGTTGCCATAAATTTGGTTAAATTGGTTTCTGGTGACAAACGTAACTAATGTCAAAATTTAGGTTAAGTCACCTGTCAGCTTGTATGGATAATTTAATTCATAGTTGACAGCAGGTTGACAGAAAACGTCAACCGTCAACAATAAGGGGTAACCAACCCTAGGCATTCAAAATTACTTCTGAAAATTCTAGTTACAAACAATACGAAAAACGTAATTTTTCTAAAAGTTCAAATTCTAGGTGGTAATTTTTTGTTAACAAATCTGTAAATGAATTAACCGCGGCTTTAGTACTGGATGATCAAAAATGAGTTACTAGCTGGATGTCACTGATTGTGGCACTGCAACCGGATATGGTTTTGTTTGACAGACATTTGAAATGTCAAATAATATTATTAATGTGTATCAATAATAGGAAGTAAGTCCCAAGTTATTCCAGTTGTACCACTTGAAAATAAAATTCAGAATTGCCAACTTAAAACGTCATCTGGATCACCCAGTATAAAACCCAGTTTTTAAATTTCTCACTCCCAATTAAAAACTTCCTTGAGCTATTTTCCCAATTTCTCATATAACTATTATTTTGATAAAATTTTGCTTAATACACGCTGTATAAATCTATTGACAGTTACCACGTGACCTTAACAATGCCTTTTTGACGTAAATGTTTTGCCAATTTTAGTCATCTGACGATGATAATCACTAAAAGCCGGTCCTGGATTGAGTAAATTCGATGCTTAATTACCTATGACGACCAGGTCTATATCACTGGTTGGAAGGTAAAGTCCGGTCCTGTACGATCCGAAAACCTCAACTTGCGCTTCCGGCCATTTGGAGAGAATAATTTGTTTGATCCTACAGACGACATCATCCCTGACGAGGTGTTCGGTCCTTGTGGGACTCATGTACTGGTAAAAGTGCTCGATTTCCTGATTCAAACTGCAAGAAACGAGAGAAATTGCATAGAATTTGCACGAACGAGTGAATCCATTAATTAGGTGAGAAGTTACGCATAATATGAATAGTCAAACAGTGAGGATAACGGGCGGGTTATTAATAGAAGCCTCGTCCGTTTTGTAGGTCAAATTGTAGGAAATAGATAAAAATGCCGGCTGTGATAAGACGCGTAATGACAAAAACAAAATTTCGATTTAAATGTCAAAAATGGTGGTGCCCTCTGGCGGCATTTTCGGCCCGATTCGGGGGAAAGTCTAGAATTCGCAAGGGCTCACCCCAGGATGCCTCTGGCGTAGACGTGCGGGTCCCTGCGCCACGGACAGCCCCCGAACTCGCCCACCACCTTCTGCGGATGGCGGTTCATCAGCTTGGTGCTGGCGCGATTGTCGCCTTTACGTCGCCTCTGGATGAAAGTGGAGCCGCTTTTGTCCGTCTTGCCGTTCATGATGTGGTTGGAGAGGCCGTTGGGGAAGAACTCCGTGTCGCTGTCGACGTCCTTTAAGTTCATGCTGTCCAACTCCTGTTGTGTTTGCCAAATTCGAAGCCACAAATGTTTGGCAGGACCCTCTTGCTCCGGTTGCAACCAAGATATCGAAGGATCCATTCAAACAATCACAGAGAGTTTATGATTTCTTCACCATACGGCTATTTTTATTTATTACATCAATTTTAATTAAAACACACGCTGAAGTCACACCTTGTGCATATCACACGACCAAAAACTGACAGGTGTCTCGCATGCTCGGCAGATAGCGCGCCGGACACCCGACTGACGTGGCGCCAATTTCAAAAACGGACACAAAAAGCGGCCAAAACTCACAAAAAGCCACACAAGTTACCCCGAAGTCAAGCCGAAACGTCACTTTTTACGCCGTCACTTGTCCAACACGAACACTTTCGATGCTATGAATCATTGCACATTTTTAAACCACCCACGACACCCACCTAATTTGCAACCAACTCAAAATAAAAAAAAATTAAAAACCAATACCTAACGTTGAGTCCTACCGAAGCAAAACCTGTTTGGTGACAACTGTCACAAATCCACGATTTTACCATTTTCAGTCAGCCGACAACAAAAATCAAACCTGAAAAACAAGCCGAAAAACTAAAAATTATTTTAAAAAAAAATTAGTAACTTCACTTCCCTCAGGTTGGCACTTGACGTAAACATAACCTAAAACAGCCAACTGAGAATCTAAATGGATGTGGATTTATTGCGTCCGGGGACAGTCCCGATAGCCCCCGACACTGTCCTCTGGTTTGAGTTCTTACTTCACCACGACTTGCTCCTGAGCCACTTGCAAAAGCCGGCCCCAGGTGAGCCCCAACTTGTCAATTTCCCCCATTAAGCCCCATTCTAGACCCCAGCCCCACCGAATTAATTGCGAAATTTTCCGATGCCATCGCTGACACGCTACGAAATCGTCTGGAGACCGAAAACGGCGAAATGCTTATTGAATCCATGCACGAAAATGTGAAACAACCGGCGAAAAACATCGCTTTGAAAATCCTCTCTTTGAAAGTGGCTGCTTTCATTAAATGGGATTTGGGTGTGTGTACTCTTTGTTTAACTTTTAACCCATTGTGGACTTGTAGGACAAATCAGGACGTTGCCTTTCAAGACTCAAGTCCACTTATTGCAAGTCTTGTTGTACTTCACAAACGATAAAACCACGGCCGAAATACCTAATATTGACCTCAAACCGGACGAATCTGTCCCATCGCCGTACCTATTCGCGCTTGTGGTGTACCATAGATGGTTGCTCAACGTCACCATGCATAGAATTACCTCAAATTGGCAAATGCGACTAGGGTATGAACCTAACTTCACTTAACAAACAATAATTATGATTAATTTAGCAACACGGAAATATCACCGGCTGAAGAAAACATCATTTGCTCGCATGAGAATGTTAGAAAGACTGTTGAGTTCCTAAAAAGTGCCCTTAATTGGGACGAGGTCCCCAGTATGCTGACTTTTGATTGTTTCAAGCTGCCAAGTGAGACCAACGGTCTTGAATTTGATTGGTCTTCAGCTCAGAGTATTTCGAAAGAGGAGTTTTGCGCACAGTTGAATTACGACTTGGGTACTTTTTTCTTCTACAAAGAGGACTACAACTTGGCTAGGGACCATTTCACTAAATGTTTGAGTAGTTACAAGGCTATGAAAGAAAACAACGGTTTTGTTAAATTTAACATAAAAGTGTTGGAGGTGTATGTGAGGGCATGTAGCGGTGATGGTTCAAAGGGTAGTTTATTGGAACAGTTGAATACGTCCGTGGTTAATCAGTTCATGGTTAGTATTTATTGTCAGGTTGGCAAACATTAAGTGTGTTTTAGGGGATCACCTCGATTCTACAACAGGACAATATTTTTCGCGAAATTCCACTCGCCCATCGGATCACTCTCGAGTTGGACATTCAAGGGGCTTTGTCCAGTGGTACCTTTACTGTAGCCCGCGATTTGTTGAATAAAATTCGGGCTTTAAACGTGGTTAGGTGTGTTTTGGACCGAAAACCCACCTATCATTGCTCACTCAAAAGTGCTGAAATTTTAGTTTGGGTATTTATTAAAAAAACAACGTTTTTTCCTTCTCTAATTTCTAATTCAAGGCCGCGGAGGTAACGTGTAAATCACTCAACGACGCTGATCGAAATTTGATTAAAAAATTCCTCCTAGACTTGGTCCTAAAAAACGAAATTCCCGATCTCTTGTCGTGTGTTCAAGCAAATGAAACACTTTCGAAGTTGTTTGATAAAAGTGAACTCAGTTTTATTAAAAATAGAGAAAGTAACGACGAAATACCCGAATCTTTGCACAAAACAAGCTGGATTTTGTACGATTGCTTCAAGAAGCGCAAACCCAAACTGGAAATAAAACAATTAGAGCAAGATTTGATCGCGACTTATGACCATAAGGAAATTCGGGAGTTGTTGAAAAAAATCAGTGCGAACCAACTCGCCACTAGCGTTTGGAATATCAACCCGTTGTGGGATTTACCCATTCCGATCCAGTCGGTGATTAAGTCGCTGCCGCGAGGTTTCTTGCAAGATTTCAGTTTTGTCATGATGGCCAAAGTCAGGGAACAAATGTTGAACAAAGTGTGGATCTCGTCGTTTGAATTACTACTGATTTTGGACAAGGAACTCGGTTCAGGGAATGGCAACATCGGTAAATTATCGCGATTGATAAGCTGGGAGATACTACTGGTGCAAATAACCCAACTGTTGGAGGAATGGCCAAAAAGCACGATTGGTAGTTGGGTTTTCGAAGTTGGGCAGTTTTAAAACTCTGATTTCAGACAAGGTGGCGCTCGCTGACGCTTGCGAGGCTTGTCTCCAAACCAACAACGAGTCAGTTTTGCCTCGAACCGAAATAACAGAACACTGCGTCCTTTGCTTGCTGAATCTCGGTCGATGGGAGTTTTTGATTAATTTCGATAAAAGGTGGCCGTCGTTTGAGATCACCTCAGCGATAGCTTTGGCCTGTCAGGAATTGATTAAGCAAAAAGGCAATAAAAAATTGTCCAAGAATTTGTGGGAAATTGGTCCGTTGATCACACTTTTGGTTCTTTTCTCACTGATTGGTTGCAGTGTTGCCAATTTTTGGCCATGCTCCGCAACAATCGAAACGGGGGAATTCCGGAAATTCGGTGTTTCACGACGCGCAAGCACAAATCACGAACTTGCGAAATAGCATAATGGCGATTTTTGGCAAACTGAGAGATTCGACTGTTTTGGCTGTGGTTATTTCAATGTTGGCCAGACTGCATAATATTTTAAAGGATGAGACCAGTTTGGAGGTGCAGGTTGACTATGTGATGCTTTGGCCGGCTGTAATTAGCAAGTGAGTAGCAGGTTTTCGTAATTTTTCACTTTTAAATCTAATTCTTTCCGATTTTCAATAATCTTATTAAAAGTTAACAAAAGTAATTACAGTAAATTAGATGTTTTTTCTGATTTGTTATAAGTAATTGTTGTCATTTTTTATTAAAAATTTAAAAAAAATATTGGCAATATTTACTTTCATTTACTGCTTCTTGACATTACAATAATGATATTGTTTTATTTGACACCATACAACAAGATTTTTTTTTTCAACTTTGATAATTTTTTGAAACAATAATTTTTAGTAAAAGTAGAACATAATGCACATGTCTGTACCGAGAAATTTTTTTCCAAATTATGAAGGGAAAAATATGGGTTTAAAATTGGAAAGTTGAATATAGCCCAAAATATGCTGTGACATTTACAAAAATTCTAAAATTGTCGGCTTTCAAAAAAAATCCTGTGTAAAGTCAGATATCAGGAACATGGAAAAAATGTTAAAAAAATCTTATCTAAAAAAATTTCGAAGTTATGAGAGTTTAAATTTTGCACCTTGACTATTTATTTCCGTTGGAAAAATAATTTCCAAATTTTCTAAGTATAGGCTATTAGAAGAGAAAACAAGGAAGCTCTAGCCTAAATTGTAACTCCATTTAATGTCATTTGTGGCTTTTATTGGCAAAATTTTTGTAACTTTACTAAATAATTATAAAAAACCATATACAAGATCATCAGTATCATTAGATTTTTTGACACAGTTTTTAAATTTTTTTTCAAGTTCTGATACATCCTGTATTAAAAGCCATTTAATTTATTTCTTTAACTTTTGGAATCGGGCCATAAATAAAAATTTCACAGCGCCTGCTGTTTTTTAAAAGTCACCCCGTATTTTGCTATACAAAGTGAACAAAAAGTATGGGACCCATCGATTTTTTTTTAATTATTTGCCTTAAAAAAATAAACTAATAAAAATTTAAGTGGAATTATCTTTTAATTTTTTTCAGTGCCAATTCATACAACATGAAAGTGGCCCACGATGTACTCTCCCAAATGGTGACTCAAGCCCTCCAGTATTACCCAACGAACATTCCTTGGTTGCGACTAATGGGGGATATAAATTTCGGTAATTTGCATAATTTTCATCAAATTAATCATTAAATTAAATGAATTTGTAGCAAACGGCCATTATAACGTTTCTTTGAAATATTACCTCAAATCTTTGCTGATCTACAACGACTATTTCAACATTCCGGTCCGACACGACGACCATGTCTTCCGGCGAATGATTAAATGTTGCATAGCTTTGGGTTGCAACACCCAGGCGGCCGTTTTGTGCCAGTTCCTGGAAGAGCCCGACTATGTCTTAGCATTTCGAATTTTGGGGGATCAAAAGTACTGCAACGATGCCGTTGATGCGTATTATCACTGCATCTGGGACACCAATATTCTGGAGTACCTGATACACACCCACAATAAACGGGGGGAGTACCAGAGACGCAAATGTGCGACTCAGGTGATTGGTTCCTTGGAGGTGAATTCGAACAATAACGAGGAGATACAAAGGGAGGCTAGTAATTTACGGAAAAGTACGTTTCTAAGGGCGTTATGCAAACAATACGTGTTTTAACAGTTCTATTAATGTAATAGCTACAAGTTGTAAAAATATCTGAAAAAAAAATCACTGTGTGGCTTAAACGATAGAAATAAAATTTAAACAAAATATACATACACCGGTATAAAAGCAACAACACTATTAGAGGCGACTAGACTAGGTTTGCAGCAGTCGGGGCTTATCGACGAATTCTGTCCCGTGTCTGAATATCGTGTAGGCCGTCGCGGCCATCATTGAGCCCCAAAATAGTAGATAGAGGAGCGACTCGGTCGAATACTCCGTCGGACAGACAGCCGATGCCACAAACATTGCCACAGCTACTAGAAAAACAGACGGGAATGTTATGTATCTCCAGCCGCGGTCTACGCTAAGGGGCGACAAAACCTCGCAGTTCCCATGGAATAAATCAATGGCATCTTGTCGGAACCCGTCCAGAAGATTATTCTTGTAGTACCTAGTCAACGAATTAATCCCGTCTCTAATGAGCCCCAATTTGGTGCGTTTCCCGGTCCGCGTGTAATCCGTCTTCAACGCCCCCGTCCCCGAGTACTGCGTACTGATAACATCGGCGTTATCAGCCCACACATTCTTAAAAACGACCTCGAACGACCCATACGGGTCCAGTTTCTGTCCCCGTTGCAAGATATTTAATTTTTGCAAAACGATTTCAAGATTCCGTCGAGCCAACATGCTTTGAACCACGTTGGTCCGGTCGAGACAGTCCACGCAGTTGGTGCGGAAGACCCCCTCTTGGAGCCCCGACAACGACCCATCCCGGAGCATCAAAAAGAACCCCATTTCGTCCTGATCCAGCGCCACTCGATCAATGAGGATCGAAAGCCGGTCCCACCGCATTTTGCGACACTCCCCGTGGAAGTCAAAGGGTTCGTAGCACACCGAGGGGTACGCTAGCGTGGCGATAGCATCCTTGAAAGCCTTCTCTAGCTTGCCTTCAGCCCCCTTTTGATCGACAAGGTTCAACAAGACTTGCTTCCCGTAGAGGACCGCCACCGTCTCGAGGTGCTTCTGGCAAGCTGCGTGGTGCTCCTGAGGATCGATTTCGAGCAATGTCGGGGGCGGTTTGTAGCGCAAATCCGGGTTTTGGGTCCAAAATAGCGGAATTGAGCCTCGGATTTGGACAAAACTCGCACGATCGCCTTGATACTCAACGATTTGCTCCGTTTCGACGAAATTTGCGACGTTGCCGTCTTTGTCAATGCCTCGGCGGTATAGTCTAGTCCCGGCACGGGTGATACTCCTCCTGGAGATGATCGACCACGTGAAACTCTGCCCGTTGATAACGCATTGATTAATAGAAACGAAACCGTGCAATAGGGGAAGACCGAACTTCCGGAACTCGGGACGCTTAAACTGGGAGAGAAGATGGCTGTTCCAGACGAATCTCGCGTCGGCTCTTTCCAGCAAAGACAGCTTCCAGGAATCGGGACCGAAGTCGTGCAAGCGCTGCATGGAATGCGTCAAGTCGTAGCTGTAGCTGAAGTAGTGGTACGGCGTGGAGAGCACCTGCTCCACCATGTTCAGGTAGGTGTTATTGTCGCTGATTTGCTCCTGAGTCAGGTGCAGAGTGCTGCGTGCGTAGGGCAACAGTTCGGCTTTGGCGAGCCTCCATATCGCGTGAGATGCTATATAACCGACAAACTCCCGTTGAGTCACTATGACCAAGTAGCGACCCGCGAGCAAAGTGATGGAGCCCAGCAAACCGCAGAAGTCTTTGCGACTGCTGGTGACTGGGATTTGGCCGACATTTCGTTGTAGTGAGATGGTTTCGGATGGACGGTCGATTATAAGCAACGATTCCTCGGATTTCGGCTCAATGTAAAACTTCTCGGGGGTGATGTGTCTGGAAGGGGGCGGTTAAGGGCGGCTAATTTAAGGGTTGTACTCACAAAGTTAGGTCGTTGTAGACATCAGAAGACGACATGGTTGCGGTTTATGCTGATTTTGCGGCTAAATTACTACATTATTGAGGAGGAGGACAGAAATTTGTAGCGATAATTTCAAGGTTAATCAATTGACATTTGACATGTCTCGTTAAAATTTTGATTAATACCAACGCAACCGTGAAAGTCACTAAAAATGTCAATTTTCTTTGAGCCAAATGGCCATTTATTCAAAAACAAGCCAAACATTTATTTAGCTCTCTTACGTTGCATAAACACATTTAAGTTTCACAAAATTTAATAATCTGTAGTTTTAACAGAAAATATCTCAATTAAATTGAAATGTTAATACAGCGTGGGACAGAAATAAGTACAGTTCCGGAATTAAAATTTCGGGCAGTATTTTTCTGTCGCTTCAAAAAGTTCACTGTAAACTACCTTTTACTGTCATCATGACAGACATTTGACAATTAAACTTTTCTGCCAGTGACGCTTTTTTTTAAGTCAAAATGACATAAACCATCGCCGTCTCCATAGAAATAATCCTTTTCTCGCCTGCGCATTTTTTGAGTTCAACTGATTCCCGTTGGCGCTTTAATCTGGGGAAAATTTTTGACAAATCCAGTTTTTTAGCTTAAAGGGTTCAACCTCATAATATCAATTCTCCCTGGCGTATCTTGTTTTGTTGTATCCTTCCTTCCCAGCTTTTATTAATTGCGTTATTTTTCGTTAATAATTAAAACTCATTCAGTTTTTCCTTAGTAACCCCCGTAACTAAGAAAAAATCGGAATCACTGCTCCAATGCATTTTTTACGAAATGCCCAGGCGGGATATTGATACATTGGTTAAGGAGGCGGTGACATAAACATGCCAAAAGTAAAAAATGAGGTTATTAATGTAAAGGTTGTTTTAGAGTTTACATTATGAAAATGACAATACTGCCCGAAATTTTAATTCCGCAACTGTACATTAATCTCTATGTCAAAGAATATGAACGGTGGGGGCGCTGCGATCGCCTGCAAAAGGAAGTCTGAACGGCTTTTAGGAAAAAATATATAATTATAAAATGATGTACAGTAATAAATAATTGTAATATTACAATATAAAAATATAATTTAATACAAAACCTTAGACATAACTTTGTAAAAGTAGCTATAAAATCGTTGTAAATCCATATAAAAAACAAATATACAAAAAAAGGGCCCGTTCACAGCTTGGTTTCATGTCTGAAGGGCCTCCTTAAATGTCTCACAATGGCCGGTGGTGGATTACAATCCGACTCATCATCGGCGGAATCCACATCCCCATCACTACTATTAGTGGAGGCTACAGTCTGAATCGGCCTTCCGGCCCGCTGCCTCCTATAATACTTAAACTCCCTCGGGAGTGTATAGGACCTCGGTAAAGACACCTGACTTTCCAAATCACTGGGCGCATGAGGTCCCGGCAATTCCACTGTTTCCGGTTCCGGAACAATACACTCACAGTACAGGTACCGCGGAGCTAGTAACAATTCCGGTGTGCGACTCCGGGGGGCCCTTGGAGGCGGCCTCCTGTTCAGATTCACTCCATAACTGGCCAAGTTATTCAACGAGGCGAGACTTAATAAATGGGGCTCTACGTGCCGCTTAGCCCTGGGGATGGGCTGTCTGTCGTCCAAATCGGCCCCTTCGGGCCCCACAAGTTTCCCTTGTTTGATCTCCTCTTCGATGATTTTCAATTCTGCCAACTGTTTTTGCTTCTTCTCTTGGAGTTTTTGGTGAATGTTGACGCGGGAGCCCACGCTGCTGCCCTCGTTCTCGCTCGAGGAGGGGAGGGGGCGTCGCCAGAAGGGCACAGCCACGGTCGCTAGACTAGGGCTAAAAAATCAATGATGATGTTTTTGTATTTCGTTTTTTGCTCACCTCTTGGCTAGACCCGGAGGCGGGACGAAACTCGTCGGTTTTTTCTTTTTCCGGTAGAGGGCCGCAGCTGAGGGGCTGCTGAATCGGCAATTGAACACACCAGGTGGCGCCGCAGGCTTTTCCAAGAGTCTTCTCACATGGAAAAACTTATAATACAACAACATAAAGAGAATACCAATGACGAAAAGTACGATTGTGAGAATCGGAACCAATTCCCAATGTATCGGTCGCACTTGCCACGCAGCTGCGAGCCAAGCCCCCACCAAAAGACAGTTTTCTAGTAACATAACGACGTAAAATATGGTCATGGTTCGACTGTGGGGCTTCTCTTGTAAATTGACGTAGGCAAGAATATATATGGCAGCCATTAGGGCACAAACCCCCAATTTGCTCCCTCTCTGGCCGTGAAAGGGGCTCCGCGGTGACAACAACCACAGGAACATGCAAGCCCAATGCAGGGCCAGGACCAGAAACACCCATGAATGGTAGCTAGCGGCGTAGGCGGAGAGGGCTAGGGCCCTCGCTGTGACGGTCCCCGCCCTCCACAACAACTGCGAAACCACCCCCAGCCAAGTCAAGACTAATCTATCCACGCTTTGGACGTGTTTGCTAAACGAGGCTAAGGCCCAACAGACGGAAAATAGAGACAAGGCGGCCGAGACTGTCACCAGATTGGCAGGGGGGCCGTGTCCGGTGCCTGGCAAGAGACTCAGCTGCAGGAGCAGCATGGGGGCTGCTTGCAAAAACCCGTGTACTAGTCGCAATATACACAAATCTCGGACTTCGCGCTTTACACTAGATAAATGAACAGGTACAAGAAGACGGCCGTAGCGCCACAACACCCCCAGCTGCATGACGTGCAGCCCGATTACTAGGACTTTGGGGAACCCCGAGGGCTTTTTGACTAAGTACCAATGCAGGGAGAGGATTTGCGTGACGATTGTCGCGAAGACGATGGCCCCCAGACATTGGGCGAAGAGGAGGACCAAGCCGCGTTCGTACAACGCATACACCATGAGAATGTCGAAGACTAAATCACAGAAATAGGCGGCAAGGGAGACTACATTGAAGAGGAGGTCGCATAATGGCAAGAATTCTGCCATGACTCTGGACGAATCATCACATGCTAGAAGGAATGCGATTAGGTGATTCCGATCGGATTATTCATGGTACCTACTTGTGCGGGATTTGCTTGGGCGATTGCCCGCATTCCTAACCTCCTTTCATACTTGAAATGGGATTTTAACACCTGGCGCTGGGGCTAAAACGCACCGCTCCATGGCTTCATAATGCTTCAAGGGGGCCACGGGGAACACAACTCCTATTCACGGACGATTTTCGGGCCGCTTTCACACAATTTCTCAACATTTGACAATTTATTTAAAAGGACACAGTGGCGCAAATCGGTTTGACGAAGGAATGCGGCAGTGGCTAACGGCACGGCCACACTCAAACTAATTTTTTCCACACAAAATTTAAACAAATTACAAGTTCATTTCACTATACCCATCCCAATTACTTAATTTTTGGAACAATTATCATAAACGGTATAAAAGGGCTTTAAACCACATTTTTTGTGACCGTAACCACTTCCTGGTATTTTTTCAAATTGTCATTCAAGTCCATGGTTAGAAAACAGTTATTATTTTTATTCATTCCAAAATGTAGTAAACAGAAGCCAAAAATCGAACATTTAAATAGGTTTAAAGACATTACTTAAAGAAAAAAATTGAAGAAAACCGACGGAATGCGGCAGTGGCTAAGGTAACGACCACATTCAAATCATTTTTTTTTCACACAAAAATTTAAACAAATTAGAATACCACTTCACTAAACTCATCCCAATTACTTAATTGAGGCAATTACCATAAAACTGTACTAAAGGAGCATTAAACTACATTTTTTTGTGACCGTAGCCACTTCCTGTCATTTTTTCGAATTGTTGTCATTCAAGTTCGTGGTTAGGAAACAATTTATTTTTTTATTTACGCCTAAATGTAGCACTTAGAAGCCAAAAATCGAACACTAAAATGGATTTAAAGTCATTACTTAAGGAAAAATTGAAGAAAACCGAGGGTAATAGTAATTTTACAGTTTCAAAATTTTCACTCGATTTTGTTTATAAGGTGTGAAAAAATCGCCCTCCGAGTCGGAAAAACAAGAAGATGAGTATTTCCAGGCCTACATGAAGCAGTACTGCAACAAACTACCAAACGAAATCACCGGTATTCCTCGTTTTTACAACAAATTACCAAAAGAAGATGAGCCTTTGAGACAAAAACTGCGCGAGGAAAGCCGCTCTAATTTACTAAAACGCAAAAGTCAGAATCTTCTGGATAACAACGAATTGAAGGAACTATGGGTGATCTTGGATCAGAACCAAAGTTACCCTGAGGAGCAGTTAATCACTTACACTGATTACCAGAAAGTGGTGTCATTGGTGGGCCCCAAAGTCAAGCCGTACTTCACTTCGGTCGTGTTTGCGAAACTCCAACAGGGTGACCCCCAGGGGAGGGTCTCAATTATGTCGCTTTTCAACTACGTGATGCGTAAAGTGTGGCTGCAGCAGACTAGGATAGGGTTATCGCTTTATGACAGCACAGGACAGGGATATTTGACCGAAATCGACTTGGAGAATTACATAACTGAGTTGTTACCAACGTTGCCGCAACTTGAGGGGCTGGAAAAGTCGTTTTATAGTTTTTATGTGTGCACAGCCGTTCGAAAATTCCTGTTTTTTCTTGATGGGGTACGTGCGGGCCGTGTGCGAATTTTGGACATTTTGGCGTGTTCGTTCCTTGATGATTTACTGGAGTTGAGGGACGAGGAGTTGAGTAAGGAAGTCCAGGAGCAAAACTGGTTCAGTGCCCCTTCGACTCTGCGCATCTACGGGCATTATTTGAACCTCGATCGGGACCACAACGGGATGTTGAACAAGTCTGAACTTGCCGGCTACGGCTCGGGGACTCTCACACAGCCCTTCCTAGACCGTGTCTTTCAAACACTCTTGACCTATTCTGGGGAGATGGACTATAAGACTTATCTAGATCTAGTGCTAGCGTTGGAAAATCGGGCGGAGCCTCAAGCTCTAGCGTTTTTATTCCGCATTTTGGATATAAATAGTCAAGGCTATTTGGACTCTTTCACTTTGAATTATTTCTTTCGGGCAATTCAGGACCAAATGAGGGCTCATGGAGCCGAAGCTGTGTCCTTCGAAGACGTTAAAGATGAACTCTTTGACATGGTGAGGCCCAAAGATCCGGAAAAAATCACTCTGAACGATTTAATTGCATGTGGACAGGGAGACACTTTTGTCAGCATTTTGATTGAGTTTCACCGGTTTTGGGCCTACGAAAATCGGGAGGCGGTCACGGCCGAGCCTTCGCAAGACTGAATTTCTCATAATTATTTCAATAAACACGATTTTATGTATTTTAGTTTTGATTTTTTTTAATCCCGCCGTGATCACGTGACAACTGTCACAAAGTGAGGTTATGTTATTTTGTAAAATGAGTGAAATCGAGTACAAAATTTGTAAATATTGCACAAACAAGTTGGAGGATTGTCTCGACGAAGGCCTAACGTGTAGTCTGTGTTCGCAAAGCGTCCATTTGCGGTGTCTCAAGAATGGTTCGGTACCTGGGGGCCTCCACGGGGACATCTTCTTCACATTCACCTGTGAGGAATGTTCTGAAACCGGAACCGAGTCGTTTGTTAGGGAGAAAATGTCTTGGTAAATACAAATTGTATACATTTAGGACGTTCCGTGGACGAGTTCTTTTAGGTTAAAAGTATTAGTTTTGGCTTTGTATCATTTGCAGTCACGGAGTCCGGGTTTGGGGCGCAAAGGGTACTTTCACTGGCGGAATCACATAGCCTCGCTTATCGACAAAAACTGGGAAATTCTCTTTTTGCGAGATTTGTAAGAAAGCAACGGTATTATTTATTGAATTAATCGTGAGATTTGTAGTAAAAAGAAGAAAAAATGGGTTGGGACCGTCGCTGGGACCCTATCCCACTTCAGTACGTATTTTTTTAAATCGGGGACTTCGGTCGTGAACGAGCCGGCCTGGTGGGCCCTCACATACCCCAAACTCACCCCCAACGTAATTTCAAACTTGTGTAAGTGAAGCATAATCAATAAATCACAAGTTAAACCTTTATTTCAGATTCGGCCCTCACGAACGAGAAACAAAAATCGAAGATTTTAAAAATATCGATTTCAGACGCCGAGTTATTTACACAGATTTTACACAAAAATATCAAAAACGATGATTTATTAACGCCTCTATTCACTGTTGATGTTCCTGAATTAGAAAAAAATCCAGACGATGAAACTAAAAAAGTACAAAACATAACTTTCTGAACTAAAATAATTCGCATTTTGCAGATTAGTAAAAACTTCACAGTAAATAAACGAAAAAGTCTTTTACCGACGTTTGAGAGCACGTCAAAGAAGTAAGTTTCACGGTTCAAAAACCCCACATAACAATGAAATTTTAGACTTTTGAAACTAAATAAGAATGCGCCGGTTTTTTCCAACTTGGGTGATGAATTAACTCCGACTTATGTAAAACAAAATTTGAGTGAAGTTCAACAACGTAAGCCCCCAAGTGAGCCAAACAAGGAGTCTGTGAAGCTCCTTGACCCGTTTTGTCACTACAACACTTGCTTTAGTAGTGAGTCAAGTCTGGGGGTTTTATAATTGTTACACGATGTGTTTCAGACGCGTCTAGACCGAAAGGAACTCAAATGAAAGTCAGGTTGATGGGAGGTATCAGAAAAGAACTAATTCTCTCGCCTTACAGCAGTATTTATTTAAAACCTTACATAAGAAGAGATACAGAAACTTATCCGTCTTGGATACGTCTAATGGCCGAGATACAAATGAAAGCGAACGAGAAGACAGAAGGATATGTTTTGCCCCCAAGGGCCCCCATTGACTACACCTACGTCCAACCTGAACACATCCCTGCCATTAACAGTCTTTGCAACAACTTTTTCTGGTCCGGAATAGACTGTAAGTGGCCAAAAAATCAAAAAACCAAAACAAGTTTAATATTTTTTTTAGTAACAGAGTGTTTGCAATACCCCGATTTCAGTTGCGTGGTTTTGTACCGAAAACTAATTGTGGGGTTTGCATTCCTCGTCCCCAATGTTAAATACACCGAAAATTACATTTCGTTTATTTTCACACGTCCGGGGTGGAGAAACGTGGGAATTGGGAAATTCATGCTGTATCATTTAATTCAAGTAATTAAGGAAATTTTGATTGGATTTAAATTAATCAATTGTTTCAGACCAGTCTCGGGAAAGACATCACTCTGCACGTGTCAATCAACAATCCGGCGTTGTTTTTGTACCAAAAATTCGGTTTTAAAGTGGAAGCGGTGGTTTTAAATTTTTATGATAAGTATATACGTGAAACGAGCGAATCTAAACATGCGTTTTTTTGTCGTCTTGAGAGGTGATATTGTATCAAGTTTTAATCAATTTATTTGAGGCACTTTTTATCCATCTTTTTTTAAATAAATTAATTATTTAAATGCGTCGTCGTTTTGTCGCAGGTGGTGTGACTGCTATTGGACTGGATTTCCCACTTGAGCTTGAATCGTCGGGTTTTGAGCTGCCTCTAGTGGGCCTTTTTGTCAATTTGGGGGTGTCGTCACTTTTTTTAGTCTTGTTCTCCTCTCTGGGGGTACTACTATTACTCTTACCTTTACTTTTACTCTTTTCCGGTTCTTTTTTCATTTCTTTTTTAGCACTCGCGGGGGTTTTCTCCTTACTGTCTTTACTATCGCGTCTTTGCACCTCTTTAATGTTCCTAATTGGTGTTTTTTCTTCTTTTCGCAATTCCTTGAGTGACTTAGGGGTCTCGCGGCCTTTCTGCGTCAACTTCTTATCGTCTTCCTTTTTCACAAGAAGAGAGCCAAAGTCTGAGTCGGGCAACGCGAATTCTCGCTCACTGTTGGGGAAAGGGATTGACTCGCTTTCATCCAAAGCTTCCAAATTGTACATTGTCTCGAGGTGGGCCCAAACCTTGGCGGAATTTATCTCTTTCTGGCAACTGTCGGCGAATTTATCACAGATACAGGCCATTTGGAAGTATTTGTTGACGCCTGAAAGGGGGGCTCAGTTGGTGAGGTTAGGTGTGAGAGGAACGTACCGACGGGCTTGTGCCCCACCATGGCTTCCAGCAACTGCCCCTCGTGGGCCACATTCCACTCAATCTCGTCCATTGGGGCTGTAATAATATATTAACCAAGAAAATTAAAAACGCCGAATGACAAGTGACATTTGACGTTTGGGGGCGCCACGATCGCCATATTTAAATTTTAAAGCCTCATTTAAAAAGATTATTAATTATTAGGAGTATTTATATTTATTACTTGGTGTGACATTGTATATTATTATTAAAAAATGTTGTTTCTTTTGAAAAATAAAAGCGTTTTAAATGTTTTGTTAATTATTGTTATGTTTCCTGCCCTGGATCCTTGTCCCTTTTTTCTTATCGTGTGCTTTTTATTTTTAAAAATAAAGTTAAATATTCAGTGGTCAAAAAACAAAGACTAGAGATTGGAATTATAATCAGATTATATTCAAAAAACTATAAAATCACGTTGGTCCAGTTGGGGAATTTTGCGCCCGCTGGGTGGTGTTCCTTTCAAATTTTGGCGCAATTTGGTTCAAATGAGAATTTCTCACATTGTAATCACGCTTTACACGGTTCTATTCTCCTGAAAAAGCTTCATTTGCGGTGGTGACAAGACTTGCACCATCATCAGACGGGAACGAGCACAGGTCCGGCGTGAGCCCCACGTCGCGCATCCTCAATTCGCCTCAGGTGTGGGCCGAGAGTGTTTTCGTGCTTGGAATAATTGGAAAGCAATGTGGGCCCGGTCCTCGAAGTGTTCGGAGCCCAAATAAATAAACAAGACATCCCGGAACTGAATTAGCCGCTCCGGTGAAATGGAGTCTTCGGTTCAACGTTCTCGATGCGGTCATTGCCTGGTATCTTGTCAGGCGGCTCTTCTGCAGCACCGGTATATAATCCAGCGTTGCCTTGTTCAGCCTTGCCACATTCACCATCAAATGGGGGGAAAAACGGCCAAAATACAGCATACTCGTGAACGCTGGAGGCTGAGCTTTTATGTAATGCCGGTTTTGGGCCCAGAGATCGGCAACCTTCACTTCCTCGCCAAAAAGGGGGCACAAAAAGGCAATAAACCATGACTTGTGTTTATGTGCGACTTGACACTGCGACCCCCGGTGGTTCACAATTATGCTTGATCGATTGTTTGGAAATGGAAGTGGAATAATTTGAAATTTTTAACGCATTAGAATTCGAAATTGTTGAGTCGTCGTCCCGGAAGGACTTTCTGGTAGTTTTATTAGTGCTAAGCATTGTGTGCTTAGTTTTAACTGGTTTTTTATCGATGAAAGTCAACAACAGATGTTTGTACGCGTTAGCAAAATATTCTGTAATTTACATTACGGTAAATATTGGAGTTATAGCCATTTTGCAGCTCCTACAAATAACTTTTAAAAAGTAAGCAAACTCGCATGTGTTTGGCTCGGGGGGCTCTTAACACGACTTTTCTAACGCCGTTGCCGGTTATGATTATTTCGTTATTAAAAAGGGATGGGCAACGACTAATGATTAATTTTTTCGTTTTAACAGAGGTCGTTGTCATTTCATTCACAATTTTATTATTTCTTTATCGATAAAAAGTTGCATTTCTGGGGAATATGAGGTCCCGTAAGGCGTCTTTTTGTGTCGGAATTCACGAAGTCAAGCCGACTGTGACTATAATATTTCAATTCTTCGCCTTCCCAGCAAACGGTTTCCCTTGTCTAATGGAGTTGACGTCACTATAGCGTCAATTAAAATTCAAATCGTTCCATTATGCATACTGTTATTACAATAAGCAGGCCATTAGGGCCCAAATCGCCGTGATTCCGGCGCCTGTTTTCGAGAGGGGTTTTTATCTGACACGGATCTGGCGATAAAATAGCAGAAAACGGGTTTCTTTTTGATTTTCTTCTGCGAAAGCGACGAATGTTTGCTAGAATCTAGCCCGAGGATTGTACAGTAAAGTCAATAATTGCCATTGTATTATTGAGTGGCTGTAAATGAAGACGACAACGCGTTGTGGGGGCACAATGGAGTTTCACCTGTGTGAAAAAATCGATGATGGTGATGAAGTTCCTCATCTGGTGGAAGCTTGATTCCACCGAACTTTCCTTCCTTCATGACGAGGCGAAATAACAAAAAAATATTTTTTGTTCTATTTCTAACATACCTACAGGTGCGCCAGAACTCGCGCCTCAGAGAAAAATGCCACGTAAGGTAAAATACTGGGAACAGGAAACAAATGTTAAAAAAAATTCTATCTATAAAAGTTTCAAAGTTATGAGAGTTTAGAATTTGCACTTTGACTCTATTTATTTTTGTTGGAAAAATAATTTTCCTAGTTTTTTTGCTACAGGCTGTTAGAAGAGGAAACAAGGAAGCTGTGTTCTAAATTGTAACTCTGTTTAATGTTATTTGTGGCTTTTATTGGCTAAATTTTTGTACCTTTACTAAATAATTATAAAAAAACATATACAATATCATCAGTATCATTAAATAGACATAAAAAATGKCAAATGTCAAAAAATAAATGTCAAACTTTCTTGACATATAGAATATTTTAAACAGTTTTCCCATCTTCCTGGTATTTTATCTTACTTGAAATTTTTCCCTGGGGTGTGAGTTCTGGTGCACCCTGTATAAGTTGCCAATTACTACAAATGGAAGCGAATAAAGGAACAAACACTGATGATGTAATAATTGCGATTTTTTAAAATGTTGGTAGAAATGTAAAGTTTTTGTAACTTCATACACATTCAAATATAGCATTTGTGACGTTTCAATGCTTTCTTCATGCATTTACTTTGCATTTTATTCACCAACTTGAAAATTGAATGAAATGTTGTTTTACTTAAAAAAACAACTTTAAATTTTTGGCAATTTTAATAGGAAGAAGAATTTTGAGGGGTGCGGATAAAACTTGTCACACCTGGAATATTTTTTTACTCTTTTGTGTGCAAAAATTGTGTAATTTTAATCATAATTACAGTTTAAAAATTTATGGTAAACACGAAAAAATAGTGGCTTTTGTTAGTCAGTTAAATAGATTTTTAATCTGCTWTTTAAAAGGTTGGATAAAACTTTTATTTGCAACTTCATGCACATTCAAATATAGTCTTTGACCATATATGTTTCAATGCCCTCTTTATGCATTTTTTTGTATTTCACTACAATTTGAAAATTTAACAATATTGCTCCTACTTGAAAAAAACACCTTTGAATTTTTCATCAATTTTATTAAGAAGAGATCATTGGAGAAGAGCGTATAAAACTTGACTCACCTGGAATATTTTAATACAGAGTGTTCTCAAAACCATTTTTTTTTACTTTTTTCTATTAAAAAATTATTTAAATTTAATTAGAATTGTACTCTTTTTCATATTAATGTGCAACAAGTACGTTGTAGAATCTAAATGTGTCTTTAATTTAAAGGCCGATTCACACAAAAAGTCATTCAATAATGACAAAARTCTTTGTTTGCTACAACTACGTTGTTAACTTTAATTATTTTTTGCTACCTCAAAAACTGGGCTACACATATTTATTTGAGAAAATAATTTTTCGGAAAGATTGAGGTTGGGATTGTTTGAATTTTCTCATGGTTGCCACCTTAAAATGATCCCTTTCAACGACWACCTACTTCGATGCACATTAAAATGAAAACTATTATGTATACAGTTTAAATTTTTKGTAAACACAGTTGTCAATGGTATTTGAATGTGTATAAAGTTACATTTGAAAAATGTGTCATTAAAAAGGATAACTTTTTTCAAAAATTTGGGTCATTTTTTCGGAAATTTTACTCAATTAAATAGATTTTTAATTTATGTAGGTACTTTACAAAATGTTGAATAAAATGTAAACTTTTTTTGCAATTTCATTTTTTCAAATATAGTCTTTGACCCATAATTATCTGGAGTTTCAATGCCCTCTTGATGCCTTTACTTTGCATTTTTTAAATAATAGAAAATTTGACGAAATGACTTTCTGTAAAACCACTTTTGAATTTTTCGGTAATTTTAATAAGATGAGGTTTTTTTGAAGGGCTCGGATATAACTCACCATTAGAAGTTTTTTTTTTATTTCTTTTCTATTGAAAAATTGTATAATTTTAATAATTGCAGTTTTAGTTTGTGTTAAGTACAGTTGTCAATGATTGTATTTAGATAAGATGTATAAAGTTACACTTAAGACACTATAGTGGGTTTTGTTATAAACGATAACTTTCTTCAAGAATTTGGGCCATTTTTCTGGAAATTTTGACTGAATTAAATAAATTTTTAATCTACTTTTTAAAAAGTTGGATACAACTTTTATTTGCAATAAATACACATTCAAATATAGTCTTTAACCACATATGTAGCCTTTCAATGTCCTTTTTATTACAATTTGAAAATTCATTTGAGAAGAATGGATAAAATTTAAGTCACAAGATAAATTTTTACAAGATGTTCTTAAAACCATCAGATTTTGTTTTACTTTTTTCTATTAAAAAATTGTTAAAAATTTGGATGTGTCTAAAGTTACGCTTAAATTTTTTTTGGGATATTTCTTCCGAAAATGTTACTTAACTAAATATAAGTTTTATTAAGATGGGCAGGTTTGAACTTTTGCACATTGGCGTGCAACGGTACCATTGCATAAATTAAAACGTGCAAAGTTTCCACCGGCGGTACACTCGTGCGAAAAAGCACAATGGTGGAAGAAAGGAAGAAAAACGTGTGATTGGCTAAGCGCAAAGCGCAATAGGACGTGATTGGTCGTTGTCACCAATTCCATGACTGTTTTCATATTATACAAGTTGAAAACATGCGAATGTTTTAAGTCTCCGGCCACTTGGCGGAAGAGAAGAAACGGCGACATTCTCGGAATCCGTTAAAATAAGTGGGACTAGGATGTGGAAATTGAAACAAACGCCACACCTGCTGTACCTTTGCAGACAAGCAGTGCAGGTACCTGCATTGCTGCGAAGGTCACACACTCTAATACAAGACATTAAATCGCACTCTTACCTAATCGCGACCGTAAAAAGCCATCGCGGCTTGTATTACATATTGCTTATTGCCTTGTTAGCGATTCCGAAGAACTCTTGCTGCAGGAGGCTCCTGCTGAGACCAATTCAAATGGAGAATGGGCAAAAATTTGTCTGTGACTTTCAAATTAAGTTGGCAACAATGACTATA